AAGACAAGAGCAGAAGGAAGAAATGGGATGATGGGAAGTAATGAAGCATTTTTATGTGAAGTTTGTTGGAACAAACATATTTTTAGTCACGTGTAAATACTTTTAACATTTTGGTTCAAAATGACACAAAATCTAAAAAACTATTAGATACAATCATCGACATGGACGGATTTTACATTACATATCCTCATAAACATTTTCAATGTAGAGAAATGGCTATTCTAGATGTAAAACTATCTAATAAAAATGATGCGTTTATCGATCATTATTTGTTTCGGCCAAGTTATCCTTTCAATTATTTGTCGCCGAAAGACAAAAAAACTGTTCGTTATTGTGAAACACACGTGCACGGCATTCCATATTTTGATGTGACCGAAGAATTAAAATGTGCCTACGAACAAGAGAACATAATTCCTATATTAAATTGGTATATTAGAAATTTGTGCAAAGACGAAGTGATCGCATACAAAGGTGGTTCAACAGAAAAACAATTTTTAAAAATGTTGACGACGAATGATAGAATTTTTAATATTGAAGAATACAAATGTCCAAAATACAATGATTTGGTAAATTTCATAAATTTAAACAAACGTTATGTGTGTAATAATCATGTATTTGCAAAAAATAATCACATAATTTTACATTGTTCTTGTGACGAAGTGTGGGTTTTTTTTACAAGTGGGTATTGCTTGAAAATAAAATTTTAAATTAATCATAAATTTTGTTTGATTTCCCAAAAACATTAGTCATAGTATACTATATAATACAAAGATGGTTCAACAGAAAAACAATTTTTAAAAATGTTGACGACGAATGATAAAATTTTTAATATTGAAGAATACAAATGTCCAAAATACAATGATTTGGTAAATGTCATAAATTTAAACAAACGTTATGCGTGTAATAATCATGTATGCTGATGTAAATATACTATTATTAAAAGATGGTTATTTGTTGAGTTTCACCATCAAACATATTAAGATTTGAAATTCATTGATGATAGTTAACATTTGGTAAATTATATAAAGGTTGTATTTCATCAAAGCACCATGTGATCTGATTAAAGTCACAATTACATATTTCTGTAACTGATTTTATGAAATTTGTTACAAAATTTGACTTCCCACATCCACTTGGTCCTGCCACAATAGCAGTAAACGGATGTATAAAGTGAAACATTACACACGTCGAAAGTTCTAAGTGGTGAAATAAAAAATGAAAGTGTTGGTGTAAACAATTCAAACAAAATTTATGATTAATTTAAAATTTTATTTTCAAGCAACAACCACTTGTAAAAAACCCACACTTCGTCACAAGAACAATGTAAAATTTTGTGATTATTTTTTGCAAATACATGATTATTACACACATAACGTTTGTTTAAATTTATGACATTTACCAAATCATTGTATTTTGGGCATTTGTATTTTTCAATATTAAAAATTCTATCGTTCGTCGTCAACATTTTTAAAAATAGTTTTTCTGTTGAACCACCCTTGTATTATATAGTATTATCTATAACTAATGTTTTTGGGAAATCAAACCAAATTTAGGATTAATTTAAAATTTTATTTTCAAGCAATAACCACTTGTAAAAAACCCACACTTCGTCACAAGAACAATGTACAATTTTGTGATTATTTTTTTGCAAATACATGATTATTACACACATAACGTTTGTTTAAATTTATGACATTTACAAAATCATTGTATTTTGGACATTTGTATTCTTCAATATTAAAAATTCTATCATTCGTCGTCAACATTTTTAAAAATTGTTTTTCTGTTGAACCACCTTTGTATTATATAGTATACCATAACTAATGTTTTTGGGAAATCAAACAAAATTTATGATTAATTTAAAATTTTATTTTCAAGCAATAACCACTTGTAAAAAACCCACACTTCGTCACAAGAACAATGTAAAATTTTGTGATTATTTTTTGCAAATATATGATTATTACACACATAACGTTTGTTTAAATTTATGACATTTACCAAATCATTGTATTTTGGACATTTGTATTCTTCAATATTAAAAATTCTATCATTCGTCGTCAACATTTTTAAAAATTGTTTTTCTGTTGAACCACCTTTGTATGCGATCACTTGGTCTTTGCACAAATTTCTAATATACCAATTTAATATGGGAATTATGTTCTCTTGTTTGTAGGCACATTTTAATTCTTCGGTCACATCAAAATATAGAATGCCGTGCACGTGTGTTTCACAATAACGAACAGTTTTTTTGTCTTTTGGCGACAAATAATTGAAAGGATAACTTGGTCGAAACAAATAATGATCGATAAACGCATCATTTTTATTAGATAGTTTTACATCTAGAATAGCCATTTCTCTACATTGAAAATGTTTATGAGGATATGTAATGTAAAATCCGTCCATGTCGATGATTTATCTAATAGTTTTTAGATTTTGTGTCATTTTGAACCAAAATGTTAAAAGTATTTACACGTGACTAAAAATATGTTTGTTCCAACAAACTTCACATAAAAATGCTTCATTACTTCCCATCATCCCCTTTCTTCCTTCTGCTCTAGATTGTACTGTAATAATCTACTAATAGCAGTAATATCATGGATACACTAGATGTACAACAACATCTGAAAAAGATTCACCCCAGTCTAGAAAATAATGTTTATGCTGCTAACAGACTGCCCATGTACACCCACGTACCAACGTATATACCTAGTCAGGTCATAAGTATTGTCACACAGTAAAAACTTTTCTTTTAGAATGCTGGCCACAAAAAAGTTTATTGAATTCGAATTGTTCATGAAAATAAAACTGTATACTTTTTAGAAATTTACTCTTTTTTAAATATAGAGTGGACGCCTAAAGAAGACCGTGTTGCAGTTATTGCGTTGCATCGTTGCGGTTACGTGTCAATTCAAATTTTTGACATACTGAAAAATTTGAATATAACCAAAAGATTCGTTTATCGTACCATCAAATGATACAATGAATACTCTAGTGTAGATACAGGTCAAGAAGTGGTCGCCCTCGATTTGTTAGGACTCCAGCAGTGATAAAAGCTGTAAAGGCGCGAATTCAAAGAAATCCCAAACGTAAGCAGAAACTGTTGGCCCTTCAGATGGGGTTAAGCAGAACCACGGTGAAAAGGGTGTTAAATGAAGACTTAGGGCTTCGGGCATATCGAAGAAAAACAGGACATCGTTTAAATGCTCGTCTAATGGACCTGAGACTGAAGAGATGCTGCGCTTTGTTGAAGCGGTACGCGGGAAAAAAATATCGGGAAATTCTTTTTTCGGATGAAAAATTTTTTACCGTAGAAGAGAGCTACAACAAACAAAATGATAAGGTGTACGCACACAGTAGTGAAAAAGCGAGCAACCGTATTCCGCGTGTCCAACGAGGTCATTTTCCATCCTCGCTCATGGTATGGTTGGGAGTTTCTTATTGGGGCTTAACAGAGGTACATTTTTGTGAGAAAGGTGTAAAAACGAATGCAGTTGTGTATCAAAATACAGTCCTGACGAACCTTGTGTAACCTGTTTCTCATACCATGTTCAATAACAGGCACTGGGTATTCCAACAAGATTCGGCGTCAGCTCATAGAGAGAAGAGCACACAAGACTGGCTGTCGGCGCCTGAATCGACTTATCCGACACGAAGACTGGCCCTCCTCCAGTCCAGATTTGAATCCGTTAGATTACAAGATATGGCAACACTTGGAGGAAAAGGCGTGCTCAAAGCCTCATCCCAATTTGGAGTCACTCAAGACATCCTTGATTAAGGCAGCCGCCGATATTGACATGGACCTCGTTCGTGTTGCGATAGACGACTCCGATTAGCCTGTATTCAAAATCACGGAGGTCATTTTGAATAAACTATAGTGTCTATGTTTTGTTAAGTTCATTTTGGTATATAAATGGTTAAATAATGAATAAACTTGTTTCAATTATTTTATATTAAACATGTAATAGAATTTATGACCTGACTAGGTAATATGCAATTTGGGTACAGATGATAAACCAGGGTCACATTGGGTAGCTTTATATATCGATACGAATGACGTCGGTCAATATTTTGATTCATACAGACGAGCACCTGTACGAGAGAATGTAGAATCTAGAGTTTTTAAAAAAGAATTGTAAAAGATGGAACTTGAATGTTGATAGGATTCAGAATGAGTGGACTTCAGTTTGTGGCGAATATTGCTTAATGTATTTGCTATATAAGTTTCAGGGATGTTCAATGCATAATTTTACGAGTATATTTACAGGGAACACATTGTACAACGATATTTTAGTGGATGAGATGTTTCGCTCCTATTTTATAGATAAAAAGTAATAAGAATTTGTATTTTTTAAATAAAAATTTTAACAAAATTAGCTAATGTGTTTTATTGATGAGTCAGATTAGTGTAGACAGGAACAAAGGAGTATAATACAATAGCACCACGCTGAGGAAGAATACATAATGACGGTATTCAATGAACAATAGATAAGTAGATAAGAACAATGGAGCGCTAATGACGGTGGAGGCCTTCACCGGGTATCAATTAGATAAGAGTTAATTGATCTGCACATCTTCGGAACCGTGCATCCTACGCAAAAATGGACCGCATGCAGATAAGTGATCAAAACCTTTTTTTTTAGTTTTTTTTTTTAGGATCGTGAGTCGACGAACGTTGTACTTGTACCACTTCCGACTCAGTGAGCCAGAACTGGTACAATGTAACTACTTACTTATCCGGATTTTCATACGAGCACGATTTAGAGCTTCAGCTCCATTTATACCTAATCACATATCAAAAGAGACAAATTATGTTATAGAGTTATATATAAATCAGTTTATCATTATTTTCGTATTGATAAGATACCATTGTCAGGGATTGTTAAGATGATAATGCAAATAACATACAACGAGCGTGTTAAAGGTTATTTTGTGAAATATTTACAGTGTATGAGTGTAGGTAAATATTACATATAATTAAAGACGGATAAGTTGTTCCAAAAATGAGTGGTTTTCATGACATCGCCACTAACTTTCGATGTTCGACAAACAACATTAATGAAGGAATAGTAAGACAACAAAGCAGACAGAAAACTCTAAAATTGTAAGTATAAGTAATATTATTCAGTTAAGATATGTGTTAATATGATGAAGATTATTTTTATTTAAAAGCTATTATAAATTTAAATTTTATTTCAGAATAAAGATATTTTGGTTATAAGCGAAATCTTATTTTGTTTTTACTCGACTTCAAAAAAGGAGGAGATTCACAATATAATTGTATGTTTTATTTGTACGTTTTTTTATAGGATAGGGATGATAAACTAGCATACAGTCCACCGAATTGTAAGTGGTTGCCGTGGCCCATATACATCTTTCCTCGGTTACGCATCGAAATGCAAATGCGTTTTCACCCGTGAGCCCGTGACGACTAAGATGGAATGCCTCGTTTCCAGTAAAAAGGAGCGTAGTCCTTCCCCGGTCACGTTACAACTATACTACTGTATGTGTAGTATGTTAAGCGATACCTTCGTTAGCTGTGAACTAATTTTGATGATTATTCTTTTATTAAATAGGTTATAATTCCATATAAGTTTGGAGACAAAAATTCCGTCGCTAAGGGTGACAAGATAGGAGATGAAGTCTTTAACAATTTATAGACGACACACACGGTCAGTTCAACTAATAATTCCAACTGATCAGTTCAAACTAGAACTAGTAACTTTTTTAAATATCGTATTTTCGATATATCGATAATTATAAATACATCAATATCGGAGTATTATATATTATAAGTTTATTTATCGATATATCGAAACTCCCATATTAAAAAAAAATACCAGTCCTAGTTTGAACTGATCAGTTGGAATTATCAGTTGAACTGACCGTGTGTGTCGTCCATGAGAAACATTGAGATTGTGAAGGAGCCGTGGTAGCTCGCAAGCAAACCGGGTTCGATCCCCGCCTGCACCAATGAAATTGTTAATTGCAATTTTAAGTGCCGATTTACCACGTGAATGGCAGTGAAGAAAAACATCGTGAGGAAACTACTACTGCATGTCTGAGAAGTAATAAAAAAAATTCCGAAGACGTGAAGTTCGCTAACACGCATTGGGGCAGCACGGCGGACCATATGTATATGTGATAATATAGGCTGTAACTTTAAGATTGTTATATAATACTTCGTCCCCAAAAAAAGGTAAAAATTTACTTCTATAATAAAAAGTTAAAGCCGACTTCAAAGAATTAAAAAGAATAAAATAATTTCACATTTTGAAGTCGGGGTGTTAATTCTTCTATTAATATGTGGTTTAGCAGATTAGCACTGACTTCAGAATGTGAAATTATTTTATTCTTTTTAGTTCTTTGAAGTCGGCTTTAACTTTCAGTTAAAATTTACCAATTTTTAATAGTGCTTTTAGTTCTCACTGCTGATTATAGATCTTATACAAGCAGTAATAAGTTGAACAAAATTAGAGTAGTAGCTATTCGCGTACATACGAGTACGCGTAAACATACGAAATTGAATAAATAGGTTAGAATTCGAAAACAGTTCGAAAACGTTTCGCTGCAAATCCTAATGCGAAGATACTCCTACCGTACAATTCACCATTTCCACTATTACAGATGGCGCTCAAATTCTTTGGTAAACATTGCTGGCAATTCAAATAAAAAGAGTCCTGTTTATGAATCGAGTCCGAATACGGAGCGATTCAGAAAATATGGCAACACTGAGAGTGTGAACATACTCGACGGTATTAAGGTAAAATACTTGTAATGGCTTGGCCACATTATGCTCCTCGGTCCTCACGCTGCTCATCGCTCTGCTCTCTCTCTAGTATATACACATACAGTAATCTACGGCTCTGCTCCTCGCGCTGCCGCGATGTCGCCCTGCCTGTCCACACATTACTCTACTCACGCAATTAATTATATTAATTATACATATTAATCGCGATGCTCCGCACTAGGTCGCTCGCGTTTGCAACGCAATGAATGTTGAAAATGTTGCTGCGTGCGAGCTGTGTATATTTATAATAACTATACGTTCATAAGAATAATTTTATCAAGTCAAATAACGTTAAATATACGCTGTCGACGTTGACATAGCTTTTTCTATATATATTATATTATTTACCTATGTGATAATAAAGGTTATATGATGATAGGTATAGTATTTATTATGATTTTTAAATGTCACGTGACATGTTTCCGTACCGAGCGCTCGACTTTTCAGGTATATAAAAAGTACTCTGTGGCGCGACTCGGTCTGCGGTTGCGCGAGTGTGTGGCCAGTCACTCGCCTCATATTGCCAGTCCTTTTACTCGCGCCCAAAAAACTGACAAAACGGGGAGCGCTGGGCATGACGAGGAGCATGACGTGCGGCATGACGAGTATTGTAGCCACACTACGTCTCTGCCTCCTTTCCTCACTACCTCCCATGCCATTCGACGAGTGTGTGCCCGGGAGTTAAGAAACGATAAAAATTTTCTTTGTCTGAAAATTGTAATTTTTTATATAATTGTTGGAGTTTTCGGAAAATCTTCTAGTTACAAGGGAAGCTTGGAAAATTTTGATAAATGTGTAATTATTATTTTATTTTTTCTTAAAAAAAAATAACATTTCGAAAGTAATAAAGCTGTATCTAAGAAGTTTGGGGCCTCTGTAGCTCGGGTACTCTATACAGCAGTTACAGCGGTAGTTGCGTGTCTGGCCGTCAACTCTAATAATCTTAATATCTTGTTTGGTAATTGGAAGAAGCTAAGCTTAAAAAGCTGAAGGTACTCCGGGTTAACACTGACATCGAGACGGCTGTCACCTCAGTCTCCCGTGACTATGGGTGCTGGAAAGCATCCAAAACGTCAGGAATCAAATAAAGAAATCAAATAAATTAAACGCGATAAAATCCGTAAAAGTAGTTTTAATCAATTACAAGGTGAGGCAAAAGTAATCATCTTTTGCTGTGCTTACTTTCGCTGTTATTTTTTTTACAAATGAATAGCTTTGGTTCTGTTTGTGGATTATTTATGTTTAATTCATTAGATTTTTTTCCATCAAGTCGAGAAGATGATATCGCACAAATCGCCGCCGCCAGCATTGATGACCATACAGGCCCTTTTTATGCCATCACTTCAGGCGATAGGTTCACGTATTCGTGTTGAATGTTCTCCTTGAGGGCTTCCAGAGTCAGAGGCTTGTTCACGTAATCACGAAACTTCATAGATCCCCACAAAAAGAAGTCTGGTACCGTCAAATCGGGCGATCTTGGAGACCAGTGCAAATCGGTAAAACGAGAGATTAGACGACCCAAAAATGCCTGCTTCAAAATGTCGGTTGTGACTCGGGCAGTGTGCACGGTTGCACCGTCAGTCCCAGCTCATCAAATGAGAAAGAAGAAACTCGTTGATCATGGCTCTGTAGCGGTCACAGTAATCGTTTGGCCCGCGGCGTACTTGAAAAAAAAATTGCCCGATGATTCCTCCAGCGTAAACAGCGCACCATGCCGTAACCTTGAGTGGGTATAATGGCTCTTCGTGGATCACACACGGATTTTCGTTACCCCAGAAGCGATAATTTTGGCGAAACACGTAGCCACTGAGGTGGAAATGAGCCTCATCGCTCATAATGAGTTTCGATGAAAAATCGACATCTTCTTGGTCGAGATTCAGAATGGCTTAAGCGTAAGTCACGCGCGTTAAGCGGTCAACAGCTAACAGCTGATACACTGCACTTTGTAGGGTATACCTTCAGTTCTTTCACCTAAATTCGTCGTAGGGACCGCGTGCTAAGGCCCAATTGCGTGGCACGTCATCTGGTCGTTGTTCCGGGGTCCATTTCCACATCTCCGGATACCGCGGCAATATTTCTTGCAGAACGACTAGTCTGAGGCTTGCCACGCCGAAAAGCATCTCGTGTTGTCCCAGTCTCTTCAAGGTGGATGGCCAAACGTAGCAGTTGGTGTCGGATGGCCGGGAAATCTCCGACGAAATTCACGCTGTGCCAACACCACAGACGAATTATAGCGCACAGAAATGTAAATTATATCGCGTTCTGAGGAGCATAGCAATTTATGGCTTAGCGGCATGTATTTTACATGTTTACTTCAAAAATGTCAAAACAGATTTGATATTTGACGCCGTTTACAAAAATTATAGCGTTTTCCAATAGGGTTATTACTTTTGCCTCACCCGTTAGAAGAAGCTTCTAGATAGGTATCAGTCCCATTCAGTAGTTGTATTACTACCTTATTTGTTGCTTACTTTGGTAATTACAATTTTACTTGTTCATTTATCACTGGCTCGGCGGTAAAAGAAAAGGTATAAGAAACTTCCATGTCTGAGAATTGGAATATTTCAAGCACGTGTGAAGTTCACCCTCAACATAACACATAATAGAGTGGCATGGTGGAATACATAATGACTTTTTTTTGTAGAATAGAAAGCAAATTTGGAGACTAAAGGATTTTGAAAGCACCTTAAACAATTGGGATACTTTAGTTACAATAGTACTCGTACATGCCAAAGGTCTTCCTCTGCCGCCAGATGATGGTGCAGCCCACGAACTATATTGCAAATTTAGGTATTTTTCTATTTTACTAACATTAATATGTATAATACAAGTTAAAAACTATATATTTCACACAAGTTGTTGTTGGTAGTTACTAATTAGGCAGGTCTTCATATAGCAGTGGCTAAACTGTATATGCTAACACAATCTTTCGTTCTCTGTACACATTTTTTCTGGTTTGGATCAAAGATTTAAATTTTGGATTTGAAATTTAGAATGTATTGTTGCGCGCCTAAGTTGACGTCATGTACCCGGCACTAGCGCCATCTAGTGTCGGGAACGAGAGCGAGGGGAGCTTTCCAGAAAATAACACCACTAATCTTTCAACCTACAGCGCCATCTAGTATCGAAACGAAGAACTAAGCTTCTAGAAGCCCTACACTCGAACTTTCGGCGCCTAGTCTATTGGCGCGCGTATTTACTTGAATATTCTGGATGTTTCGGTGATAATGTGTATTTAAAGGCGCTGCAAGATGCGATCGGGGAAGTATTGAATTTGGCGAGACAAGCGAAGCTTCGGAGCGAAATAAAGTGAATCAGTGTGATTAATTATTAGTGTTTTAAGTTTAATTAGTGTAAAGTGAATTAAAGAGTTAAATTTTGGTAATTCTATGAAATTTTGAATGTCAATTATATTTAGTACTAGCTGTTCCCGGACTTCACCCGTGTGTAATTTAGAGTTTTATTTTTTGCTCGGATAATTTGCCATAATTATTTTTTTTTCATAAAATTAGCCAAAATACTACTTGTAACATCAGCTATCTGCCAGTGAAAGTGCCGCCAAAATTGGTCCAGCCGTTTCGGAGATTAGCCGGAACAAACAGACGTTGCATTGACATGACATTGCATTTAGTGTAAAGATGTTATTTTGACACTACGAACAGACACTTCCATTTTATTCATTTCTATTTATAGAAGCCTGTGGCACTGATATTTTACATTTTTATTTTACATTAACATATTATGAAATTGATTTATCAATAAATACTACTAATTTGAAATAAACTTTCAGTACGAAAAAATAACAACAAATTTTTTTAAACTAAATAAATAAATCAATCAAAAACGATCGAAATAAAATAATACGTACCCAATAAGTAGTATTTATTGATTGATCATTTTCATAAAATGTAAAAATGTAAGGTAAAAATTGTAAAATATCAATAGCATAGGCTTCTACCATAGATGAATAGATATGTAGCAAGTTAGCTTCTACAATCTTTTAAGCGTGATCAGGTTTTGATGTACAATTTAAGATACAGTATTTGAGGTACAATTATAGTATGGGATGAATGTGCAATGGCTCATAGAAAATAATTGAAGCGTTAATAGAACATTACAGGGTATCCGGAAAAATATAAAACTTATGGGAGGAATTTTACTATTATTATCCGGAGATTTTCGAATGCATGTTTGAAGCGATTAATGTTCTGGGATCGTATTGACAAATCATCATTAATAGAAAATATACAAGCAAAATTACTGGAGATCCAGAAGCGCAAGAGTTTGCTGAAAACCTGTTAAAAATTGGAAATGGCACCTAGCCTTTAAATTCACAGTCAGGCAAAGTTATTCTATCGCAAGAATTGTGTAACGTAGATACAGAAGGAGGACTTAATGAAATAGTTTATCCGTCTATTGAACAGAATTATGTAAATAGGACATGGTTGTGTGAGCGAGCCATTTTAGCTACAAAAATGATGTAGTACACCAAATTAATGAAAGGTTGCAGAATATGATACCAGAAGATGAAAACTGTATAAATCAATAGACACAATGATGAATCAAGGCGAAAGTGTAAACTTTCCAACAGATTTTTTTAAAATTAATTGAATCCGCTTGCTATGCCTTCGCATGTATTGAATCTAAAAATTGGATTGATTCACCACCAGTCATATTATAACGAAATCTCAATTTGCGAAAATGATGTAACGGTACAAGATTTTTTATAAAATAACTTCTCAACAACATTATTGAAGCAGTAATTCTAACTGGCAAAGAAAAAGGAAAATCCGTTTTCATACCAAGAATTTCATTAATTTCAAATGATTTACCATTCTGTTTCAAACGGTTACAATTTCTTCTATGATTGGCTTATTCTGTAACTATCAGTAAGGCACAAAGTCAAACGTTCCAATATTGTGAAGTGAATTTGGGAGAAATGTAGTTTTTTGAGCGCTGGATAGAAAAAAAATCAACTTTAGATTACGCTGATGTCTGCTATTTGGATGCTACCGAGGAGCAAATTAATAAACTCGAGCGCTTGCAAAATTTATGTATTCGATACATTTTTGGCTTAAAGAAGTTCGATTACATCTCTATTTATCGCAGTCGGTGTCTATGTTTAAAATACTTGTTAAAGAGCATTATTAATTCGTGATGTGTAGATATTCATATATGTAACATTAAAAATATAATATATATTTTTATTGTTACATATACGAATATTATAAGCTCGAAGTTGTTGACGAGTACGTTTACCTGGGACAAATAGTCCGACTAGGTAAGTCCAACTTCGACCGAGAGGTCAATCGACGGATTGAACTCGTTTGGGCAGTGTTCGGGAAATTACGACGCATCTTCTCGTCAGGTATACCTCAAAACCTGAAAACTAAGTTGTACAACCAGTGCGTGTTGCCAGTGATGACCTACGGAACCGAGATGTGGTCCTTCACTGCTGCCCGTATGAGGACGCTAAAAGTCGCTCAGCGAGCTATGGAGAGGGCTATGCTCGGAGTTTCTCTGCACGATAAACTTAGAAATAAGGATATCCGCAGTAGAACCAGAGTGACCGACATAGCCCAACGGATTAGTAAGCTGAAGTGGGAATGGGCCGGCCATATAGTTCGAAGAACCGACAACCGTTGGGGAAAAAAGGTTCTCGAGTGGCAGCCTCGTACAGGTAGGTGAAGTGTAGGGCGACCCCCCACTATATGGAGTGACAACCTGGTAAGACATGCAGGAAGTCGACGGATGCAGGTGGCTCAGGACCGTGCTTTGTTGCATACCTTGGGGGAGGCCTATGTTCAGCAGTGGACTTGTGAAGACGTAGACGAAGATCATGTAGAATAGAGTTGATATTTTTAGATTTATATTCAACATAGACTATAAGAATATTTATTTAAAGCCATTTAAGCTTTACACTGGTCCGGAAAAATTCCTCTGTCCTGGGAAGAACCAACAGAAAATGCAGCGAGATTTCTTTCTAATAAAAAATCAATTTACGATATAATATTTATTACAATGTATGAGAACATTTACAAACGGCATGGTAGCGAGCGACCACCTCATTTCCATGGGCTATTCATAAATCAATCATGTACTGTACTGTCTTTAAGTAATATAATAAACCTTATTAAGCAATTTTTTAATAACAAATAAAACAATTTTTAAAAAATTTGTCTAATCTCCGAAATAGCTGGCACGATTTTCACTGTTAGCTAATGTTAAAAGGACTAACTTAGGCTACTTTTATTTTAGAAAAAGAATTAGGGTTCTACGCTAAAAAAATCAAAACCCTTGAAAACCAATCGTAATGAATTCGGGGTGGGCGAAGTCGCGAGATCACCTAGTATTTAATATAATGAATCTCCTCAAAGTAACTCTTGATTCAATTAATTCCATATTTGTACGTCTAAACCTTAGAGTATGTATTAGTAAGCTATAAGCTATGCTTAAAAATACTCGAAGGACTAAAATCATTATCATACACGTTCAAGTATGTTACTTATCATGACGAGTATTTTTTTTCTTTTCATAGAAACTACAAAATAACATTTCTTATATTTGACAGATTGGGGTCCGAAACGTTTAAATCAAAGTCCGTCATACATTCTCGACAACCGCAATGGCGGGAGCGATTCAATTTGCACCTGTGTAAGGATCATTTATTAAAGTTGTCATTATGGGATAAAGGACGACAGAAAATTTTTATGGGCAGGTATAAAAATAATCGTTCCGTGTGTTTATCTATGCAATTATTTATGAGTGTAAAACGCCTTCAAGAAACAGAAAAAATCCAGTGTTTTCAAATGTTGTTCAATAACCACCTCGTTGGTCTAGTGTTGTAAACGCAACTGCTGATCATGAGGACCCTGGTTTGAGTCCCAGGTAAGGCCAATAAATCGGCTATTGAGTTTTTCCATCAAGAAATTCTCAGTAGCTGCCCGGAGTCAAGAAGTTGGCGATGTCTCACATTCATGCCTTGAAAAGTACGGAAAGTCCTGCGCCTGTTTCCGTCGTTACGGGGTACCGTTCCGTCGGACTATAGAAGAATGAGGGAATAGAGGGTGCAACTGTGTTTGCGCACATACTTGGGCACTATAATTCTGTCCCGTGCCGATGGCTAGTCTTCATTGAGAAAGCCCGCTACTGAAATTTATTAACAGACAATATATATTATATAAAGACATATTCATCGATGCAGCCCTAGTACTGTTAGTAATAGTGCAAGACATTTTCGGTTTCGTCTTAACTCTCATTAATAAAATGTGTGTTGTCACTTGGGTGATAGGTACTACAAATTGAAAGACTGTGTTTATTACACCAGTTTGCTTTTAAGGTCATAAAGAGAATAAATTACTCCTGTGAAGTGTCTCGACGAAGTCTGTGTTGTACCTTAGACATAAGTATAGGGTACATAAAACGAAAAAATTTAAATGACAATGTAGGATAATCCCATTCAATGGTAAATGATGATGCAGCCGAAGATAGCTAATAGCATAGCTTAGTACAAAGCCTATTCACTTTGGCGAAACTCACATTGTAATCAGATTTAAAGCCACGTAGCCAGGGTAGGACCACGCTCTCACAGAATACCAACGTAAAATAGCAGCTCAACACTGCTGTGTTTCGTGTGGTTTGTGTAGAGAACCGGAGACCCTTTTTGCTGGAAACGAGGCATTCCATCTTAATCCTCACGGGTGACAACGCATCTGCAATTTGATTCTTAATCAAGGATAAATGTAGATGTCTATGGGCCACAGCATCCACTTACCATCACGTGGACTGTGTTCTCGTTTGTCATGCTTTTCTAAAAAAAAATGTGTAGTTTATCGACAACGAAATGGTGGAGACCAACCGAGTGTTTGGTGATCCGATGATGAAACAAAGAGGCATTAAGTCATACACATAGGCGTTCGAATCCACCATTCGACTACCATCGTGAACCACTCCTAACACAGGCATTTTAAGCTTACCAGGAGTTGTTAAAGGGAATATTAGTAATGTTGATAGCATTGCTAGTATTTAAAAAAAAACTTTGCATCTGTGGTATTATAGACTGGTAAGATTAGTATAATTCTCTGTCTTACCTTAGTAATCGTTCCGCTTGGCAAGTGGATTAATCATTGCAGCACTAGATGTTTTACGCCTTTACTCTTATCTGATGTAAACGAGATGGATATATAGCTAAGTATTGAAAGCCATAAGGTTGTTCTGGCATATCCCATAGTTGACTTTTACGACTGACAGGGGGAGAAATAGGGTAGGTACTAAATTCTCTTACGCCGCCATCATATGACGACACAACGAAAAAGCTATGAAGAAATAGATTTTTTTAAATTAAAATAAATACTAGCAATTCTATTAATATTACTAGTATTCCCGTTAACTACTCCAGGTAAGCTTGCAAATGACGTCACGAGTGATTCATGACAGCGTTCGCATCCACGACTTTTTGAGATCGCGGTCTGCACCCTACCATTAGGCTTCTGTCGTTTTAGATTAAAATGGGTGCGTTTGGCAGAAAAAAGCGCTAGCAAGCGCTTGCAAGCGCTAAAATAGTTTTCGGCCAGGACACGATTGCTACTTCAGTAGCGCTGACACAATCCGCCATTTTGCTTATTTAATTTGTTTGTTTTGAAGTAGAGTTTATAAGTTGTTTTGTGCAATATTAGTTTTAAGTAATATAATGACATGAATAAACATATACATGTTATTAGAAATTCATGATTAGTAAGTTTTTAATATGAATACTTTACAAACATATATTTAAATTAGGTTAGGTTCCCCGGTTAAAACTAACATCGTGTCCTAGAGGAAAATAGCTATTTACGATTTGACAGAGCTTACCGCTTACGATCGCCATTTTGCTTACAAGCGCTTGCTAGCGCTTTTTTCTGCCAAACGCACCCAATGTATATTTGTTTCTACAGTTGCGTTTTAGATTTATCTACCTTAGAAAAGGAGCGCACTCATGAAATTTGGCAGCAGTTGGATGATGGTTACGGTTTCATACATTTGTCTTTGACAATGTGCGTTATACGCGATGTGCCAGCACAGCGAAGCGAAAATATCAAGACAGACGACCTGCAACATAAAGACGTATGTAACACAGAAAATGTTACATTATTTTCTATATAGAAATAGAATATGAACATAAACCAACATGACGTTTTTGAACAAAAAATTAGGTAGGATTTTGCATTTAGGGGAATATATACCTTTATACAATAAAATAGAGCATATTAGAAAATTTTAATGGATTAATTTTTTTTCAATATAGATTAAAAATAACTATTAAGTATTGAAAGTAATTTTTTATGTTTAACACTTTAGTTCAAAAAATTGTCTATTCTGGAAGAAACATTTATAAATAATAAAATTAAAATTTTGAAAAAGTTTAAGTTTTAACCACTATCATACCTAACATATTTTTGGCGTTTCTGCCAAGTTTTTACTAAAGGTTAAGAGAGGTCAGAAGGATCAGTTTGTGAGGTACCTCGGGAGTTACGACGCATGTGTATTCCTTCTTTTTTAAGCTAAATGCAGGAGTCCATGGGCTACAGACAGTGAGTCATTACGCCACGCTACCTATAGTAAATGGACTGTTAGCTTGTAAAAATATTTTTATTTCTTAAATGTAAATACTTTTACGAGCTAATAGTCCATGTCAAATGCAGTTAAAATTATTCACATTATTTTGGTTATTAGAAAAAAAATTACTTGATAACATTTAAAAAGGAAGTGATGCCATTCAGTAATTGTGCTTAAGCCTATATTAGACTTTGCCATGGCAATGACTCTTTTGAAGGTCCTGGAGGTGGAATTATACTTCTTTTTTAGAGCGCTGGTGTTTACATCCCGGGACACTGAAGTGTCAGCCTAGGCTTGGTAGCACTCCTGCTTATAGCATGATGCTATTTTACAGGAGCGACCAAACCATGGGTGAGATTTGCCTCCGATGGGCACCATAGAGGAAGGAATAAAAATTCCATACCCTGAAGTACCATATCAGCAACAACGTTGGGATCGTCCGGCGAGAAGCAAATCCGCCCCCAAGGGTAGGATGCAAAGAAAGACCGCCTCCTATCCCAACCGGCTGACCTATAGTGCCAAGCACGGCGGAAGCCTGCAGAATGCAACCGTGATTTCAGCACGAGTGGCACCACTCTCCGGACAAGACAATGGTCCGAGGAGCCTAAAGGGGCGTCGACGGAAATCTGATTCCACGTTCCACGTTAGTTTTTGGTCGATTGTTACGGCCAAGTACTTAACTTCAGTGGAAAATGGTACTTCTTTACCATTAAGTTTTGGTGGGACTAATTTGTCTACCCGTCTCTTTTTGGTAAATAGTATTATAACAGTTTTATCAGCATTAACTGATAAACTATTATCCCTATATCAGTTATTTATGGTGTTTAGGGCTTTTTGTATTATCGACGATAAAGCAATTTGGTGAAAGCCTCTTGCAATGATCACAAGGTCATCAGCATAACCTAGTGTGCGTAGGTCTGCCATTTTGTACAACAGTTGGTCAACCGCGAGAGTCCAAAAAAGGGGTGACAGAACACCTCCTTGTGGGCAGCCTCTTGTAGCTGCAACCTCAATCGAAGTTTGAAACAGCACCATTTTTGCCTTCTGTTTGAGAGCATTGTCTTCACCCATCCATCCACCCATCGACGGTCCCCAATCAGCAGTGAGGCTACTGTCGAAGGCGCCCTCAATATCTAGAAAGGCACAAAGAGCAATTTCTTTATCCTCCAGTGCTTTTTCAACCATGTCAATGACACTGATCAAGGCAATCTAAGGAAACAGCTAGATTTGCCTCTGCGGTAAGCATGTTGGTTGTAATGTATGGGTCTCGTAGCTAGAGCTACATCCCTTATAAATCTATTTATAACCTTTTCCAATGTCAGGAGAAATGAAGATAGGCTTATAGGTCTAAAGCACTTTGGTAAAGCGTAATCCTTTCTACCAGCCTTAGGTATAAATAGAACTTTGACAATTGTCCATCGTTCTGAAATATATTCACATGAAAAACTTGCTCTGAAAATTTCACCAGGCAGGGAAGGGTATTTAAGAGAGTAGTGAGCTATTATATAGCTTTTTCTCGAAAATATTATCCCTTAAACATCCTCTTAAAGATTTGATGATGTGAATAGGCGAATAGATAATAAATATTTAAAAAAAAATACGTGTGGCACTCGGTGACTGCCGCGGTAAAGCTATTGCATAGCATTTTTTATCAATTTATGCAATTATAATTATTTATTTATTTTATTTATGCAGTTTAGTCTTTGATATTAAATCAAGTTACACTTCTTGAGCGTGGTGACCGATAAGAAAAAAGAATTTTTTTCTCTTGTTGAATAAATGAGAAGTTAATATTGTTTAAAATATTTTAATATCTTACAATACATGTAGGTTATTCAGGAATTTTTATCATTGAGTTAGCAGCTAGTGCACACGCATACGTCTAGTCGCACGCACACAAACCCCGTGCCGAAGTCTGCCGAACTGAAACGACGTTAGACGATGCACGGCTTTCAACGCCACACCTCCGTGCCCGTCGGAGTGGGGAGCGTGAGGTTTTTTCGTTACGGAATTTCTGGATTCGGTCCCCGCGCTCAAGGCCCGCGATAGAAGCTATGCAATAGCTTAAAAAGCATTTTTTTTCTACTCTGCATTTATTTTCAGCATAATATCCATGATTTAAAAAGTGATTGGAAATTGGTAGGCTCTTTACATGTAAAAGTTATTAAAGCAAAAGGGCTAAGTGGGAAGCCAAGCGCTTATTGTAAATTGGAACTAAATAATGAAAGAGTGCGAACCCATAGAACAAATTCTAGAATTGAGCCGATGTGGAATAAGAGTTACGTGCTGTAAGTATTAATTATTATTATCATACTTAAATTTTATTTAACATTTCTAGTTTGAAAGCTTAAAACTTCTACAAAAGTCCAAATAAGGTATTTTTGACAATTTAACAATAATAATACAATCTGACTGAAAAGAAAATATCATACAGCATAGCATAAACACAAAAAATATATTCATGGACAAATTTAGAAAAACAAAAAAAAAATTCAAGGTTTTTCTTGTACTAACCACAAACATAGTGAATCGACGGTTAAGAATCAATAGTGTACATCTCAATAAAGTTAACTTTACAGTAGGTGAAAAATATTTTTTTTGCTTTGAATAGAATGAACACAACCTTTTAAGATTTTATTGATTAAAGTAAAATTTTTCTTTTTTTCTTAATTTGATGGATTTTTGTCATTTGATCGTACCGTTTTTTCGACTATTGCACTTTTAAATTGACGAATAATAAGCAATCAAATTAATAAACTTAATTGTCACAAATATATATCATAATATTATTTGTTTTATACACATTTTGTTTTGGGTTATTTCAAATGTGTCCATGAGGATATAAGTCAAAATCATTGCATTATGTAATGCTTTTAAATTTATTTATCCTTATTAATTATTTATTTATAATAAACTGTACACTTCTGTGTACGTATTTGTGTAAAGTCGACGACAAGATGTACATCCCGTTGAGTGTCGAATAGTCTGATAACAGAAAGGATAGAAAATAGGTCAGGAAATACCAGCGCACATTTTGTGTAATTTGTAAAAGATATGTTTTCATTAACTTAATACATATTATAACATTTTTTAGTGATGTCCACGATGTTACATCAGTACTTAAAATAACAGTGCTCGGTAGTTCATTACCGAACGCGCTTTTGGATGAATTTCTCGGACAAGTTTCCATTCCTTTGTTAAGGATAAATAATGGAGAGGCACGTTGGTACGCTCTAAAAAGGCCGAAATAAGCGAAATGCCGCTAGAGGAAATTGTCCAAGAATTTTATTACAAATGAATATTAACTGGAACCCTGTAAGTAAATTAACAAACAATATATTGAGTGCTGCGATGTGATTCACGAGCTGCAATCACTCTCACGCCCGCCACCTTTTTTTATAGTAGAGGGGGCAAACGAGCATGCGGCTCACCTGATGTTAAGTGACTACCGTCACCCATGATCAACCGCAACACCCAGGGGAATTGCAGGTGCGTTGCCGGCCCTTTAGAAAGGAGTAAGCTCTTTTTTGAAGGTCCCTAAGGTAATTAGACTGTTCCGGGCCAAAAAAGAAAATATTGAGTCCTATTACGGTAAAGCCAAGGCTATTCATTCGTCATTATTCTCACCCTCTCCAATTTGCCGCAATATCAACGCTAGGCTGGCAGATAAGCGAACGCAGTACTAGACAGCGTTCCACAACGTTCCGCCATAATTTGTACACCATACAGATGATGCTGGCAAATTTTTATTAAAAAGATGTGTAAAATGTTGCAACAATTTATTTGTAATGGTTGTCCAGTTTAGAAAAGATTTTAGAATTTTAAGACCATAGTATTATTTAATTTATTTTTGTATTCTACATGCTCCACATTATCTTAATACAGTTTAGTAGTGTCCGACTAAATGTCGATTTATGGCCAAAGTCGAAAACGATGCCAATTAATAATAACTCAAGGTTTATTGGTTAATTTGACCGATGTCGGTCGAAGCTGAAGCCGAAGCTTCGGTCGAGCACTACGGTTTAGTGAAAACAAAATGCAATTATTAATTCAGGTGTCATGTTTTACGTTTCATATTTTCATTATTTTATATTTTGATTTACCTTCACTGAATGTAACTATTTCGCGGTATATTTCTAGATAAAAGCAACATTTCGACTGTTTCGACCAAAGGAAGTAAAACATATACAAAAACCTTACAAAATGGATATCTCGATTCTTTTAAAAAATCTCATGAAATTCTCAGATTATTACAATAAACTTTTAAGAGTGAACGAAAAATTTAAGTGAGTAAAGATATTTAAGTCTTAATCATTTGCAAAAGAATGTATTTAAAAAAAATATATATATATATATATATATATATACGCGGTAGAGCCACACTGTAGTTATAATATTTTACGGCTTTAGCACGAATGAATCGGCTCAACCGTGGTACGACCACGCTCTCACGGAATACCGGCGTAAAATAGCAGCTTAATGCTGGAAGTATGTAGAGAACCGGAGATCTTTTTTACTGGAAAAGAGGCATCCTATTTCAGTCCTCAGGGGTGACAACGCATCTGCGTTTTGATTTTTTATTGAGAATAAATGAAGATGAAGAAGTCTATGGGCTACACGGTATTCACTTACCATCAGCTGAACTGTGTGCTCGTTTGTTACCCTCATTTTATAAAAAAAATCTCTAATAGTCAACTTCCTCTGCATGCGGTGCAGTCGACTGACTGACGGTCGAAACCATTAACTCACGGCTCCGATCCCGTGGCTCCGGTGAGGAGCCGACCTACAACACTTCGCTTACCGGTTCGAGGTTGCCTAGGATCATGGTTTGTGGGTTTCCTTGCGGGAGGCCTATATTCTGCAGTGGACTTGTGTGAAGGGACACCCACTTGCGTGTTGCGGTTGGAACTGTAGCATAATTACAGACTGTGCGGCATTAGGTTTAGTCCGCAGAAGCACATAAGAATAAACTAGATTATGAGGAATTCTTGTATAATAACGTAACCCGAAAAGCATTTTGCTACAATTGTTTGTTCATATATCTTTTTCATACAGATCTCTTTTTGAATGGGATAATCGGGAGCTGTCAGCTCTTGCATTGCTGGTTTGGTTAATATTCTGCTACCACCTTAAGCCCTGGGCAGTGCCATTAATTCTCTTATTACCATTCTTATTTTTTTGGACTTGTACATGGATTCAAGGTAAAAAATATGTGTAAATTTAATGGAAATGAAAGAAATATGCAGATTGTAAATGATAAATATCAATACTGTTATAGGAGAAAGCACAGATAACGACACAGAGGACCTTGAAAGAACACAAGATAGTCGAAAGGTATTCAATACTTAATTTAATTAAGCTATTTGTTATAAAACTAACGAGTGCTCACGTGGTAGAGCCACGCTGCCACGCTAAGGTTGTAGCCGAATGGGTTGGTTCGACCGAGGAAGGGCCACGCATAACACCAGCGTGAATAACAGTTCATCAGTTCAGTTCAACCGCTGTGTACGGTGCGTATACACTCTTTACTGCAAACGAGGCATCTGATCTTACTTCTAAGGGGTACAACTGTAATGAAACTTATTTTGCAAATGTTATTCATCGTAATTTTTTAAATTTGTTGTCCTTGTCTCCCCTACCTACTTCCACATAATTGCATTTCTTCATCATATCCTTTTTTATAACTCTTTTAGGATAACAAGGGACTAGGAGAAAAAATAAATGATATGCAAGGTGTAACAACAACTGTATCCTTTGCATTAAATATTGCGCTGTCACTGATTGAAAGGATTATCAAGTAAGTGTCTTAAGATCAATGATTAACTTAACAATTATCAACACCTAATGGCAACGTCAAAGGAGCTGTGGTAGCTCAGATGGTTAACGCTCGCTGTAAATATAACAGAACGCGAGTAACCCGGGTTCGATCCCCGCCGGCACCAATGAAATTGTTAAGTGCAATTTTAAGTGCTGATTTACCACGTGCTCGGCGGTGAAGGAAAACATAGTGAGGAACCTGCATGTCTGAGGAATAAGATATTTCGGAGACATGTGAAGTTCGCCAACACGCATTGGTCCAGCGCGGCGGACTTGCCCTAAAACCCTCTCAGAAATGAGGAGAGGCCTCTGCCCAGCAGTGGGACGTATATAGGCTGTAATTTTAACTTTTAATTTTTAACGTCAACTTTATCGCCATTGAAGCCGATATTTTGAAAGTCAATTTTGTTTTATTGCAAACATTCACCAACAACAACAACCATCTCAAAGCATTGAGAGCTAAATTATTGTATAAGTATTAAGTTGTTTTAAGTGGTTTTTGGGAGTATAATATTAGGTAATAACTGATAAAAACAGAGGACACATATTTTCGTCGTAGAAGTATATATCCCTGGCTTATAGATATTATCGGCCGTGATTCATTTATGTACCTTTAAAGCTTTATAATAAAACACTAGGTAGAAAAAATCCCTTGTACTGGCAAGCGTAGAGCTTATATTACTCTATGCGCAGTGTACACTTAATGCCTCAACAGATCGCCTTTCCGGATATTAAAAGTCAATCAATGAAGGCCACAGTATGCCTCATCAGGTAGCCTTTTCGGATTTCAAAAGTCAATGTACATATGAAGGTTACTCCGGAGTCTGGATGGTGTTTTTTATAATGAATCAAATTGTATTTGGACAGAGTTCGATTTTCTACCGTATGGTGGAAGCGTTTTACCAATTCCACCTATAACTCTACAATAAAGAAGGTTACTCCTCTTGGTAAATGAATCAAATTGTATTTGGAAAGTTTTTCTATTGGAACGTATACCAATTCCACCTATACAAACATCTACATCCGGAAAAATTATTAGGGCATACAAAATACTTGATCCGTGCGGGAATCGAACCCGCGGCATTAAACTAGGCCGCTGAACGCGAGTCAGTGTGCGAGTTGAAAAGCTTATCTTACTTTTTTAAAGCAATACTTTTAAAGGCAATATAACATGATGTCATCACTTGAATATTAATAACAACATGTGTTTTAAAAGAGTGTTTACTAACGAGTAAAAACTCAACATTTTTTTCCAGCCTAATTACATTCAAGGTACCGTTTTTAAGTTACGTGGCTATGTCATTACTGCTCGTAGTTTCCGTAATGTTATATTTTATGCCGTTCAATTATTTATTGATGCTATTCGGTGAGTATATTTTTTATAATTGAAATTTGAAGTTCTATTATAAAATATAGTAGCAGAATGCCAGACAGGTTGTGGGGCGTTCCATTTTGGTCTTCAAAGGTGGCAACACATCTGTAGCCCTCTTAGTAATAGAAGTAGTGCAGAACTATTTTCCAGTAGCAGTGCAGTTGTCCACAGACTGCAGTAACAGTACCGAGGGCAAATATCAGCTTATTTTTGATTATGAGGTAGGTGCCGTGCTACTTCGGCCATCAAATAACACTGCCGGTGTATTCCGGTGAAGGGTAGAAAGCCGGTACAAATACAGTATGTAAGGCATTCTATCTTAGTCCTCAGAGGTGAACTTATCTGTAGTTCTTCATGGAATGTGTAGCGAACCAGCATTGTCATTTCAGATTTAAAAAAATATATAATGGAGGCATGGGAAGTTACTGCAATTGGTCCGATTTAGCAAATTGGTAATTTTAACATATCTCCACGGTTCAAGGTCTTTAGAGTCGAATAGTATGGTTTTTAAAAGGATGTCCGTGTGTGCACATGCATGCATATATATATATATATATATATATATATATATATATATATATATATATGTATGTATGTTCGGATTAAATTTTCGCGTCGTGTATCTCGAGGACAAATAGTGATATTGACATGGGACCAGTTTCATTTAACGCGTAATTATGTAACTTAGACCTCATTAAGTTTTGAGCGAAATCGGTCTAGTCGTTTTGTGTGCCGAATGAAAAATTGTGTAAAATATTAAAACATATGATATTTTTTTATTCTTTCCACTGGGAAGCGCTTTTTTTTAGCAATCCGTTACAGTCTACTGCTACTGCTGAACACAGCCTATTGTATTCTAAGTAGGATTTTCTTCATTATTTGTACATTTGACGGTTTGGTAGCGCAGTGGTTAGGACTGTGGTAGCGGCGCTGCGGGACCACGTGTTTCATATTCTTCAGTTTTTCTGTGTCATTGCTGTTTCGGGTCTGGATTTTTGTTTATGCGCAATTTTTTTTCGTTTTTTGTGTTACACCCGTCAATACGGCGGTAGTAACAGCGGTGTAACACAAAAAACGAAATAATTGCCACTCATGGACTTGCCACTGCTCCCCATCACCGGTCTGAATATTTCATATCTGGCAGATGATCTACAAGATTGTGCACTTTCATTTGTTGGAGGTCGTGAGATCTTTGTGATTTTTTTCATAACGACTTACACTCCTACGTTACCCACGGGACTTGTCTTATTGGTGACGGAATCCCTTTCGCCGCAAACACTTCTTATATGGAGGTAGAAGGTAGTGTTTATTATTGAAGTAACTAAGCTGCTACACAACTACTAACTTTAATGAAATAACACAACATGCTTTCCTTTTTAGGCATTTACAAATTTATCAGGAAATATTTAAACCCAGATCGAATGTTAAACAATGATTTAATAGATTTCATCTCAAGGATACCGGATAACAAACTATTGGTAAGTAATGTTTATAAACCATTTGGTTTTATAACTTAATGTAAATCCACCCAATTAACATCTGGGCGGAAAATAACCATAACTTATTTTTGTTCTACAGAAAGATTGGAAGGAACTCAATGTTCCCGAACCGACTCAGTAATTGAAATCGCATATGAAAGGTGACAAGTTCCGACAACCTCTAATGTTGTTGTTACATAAGACGTCTTCTATTGTGACATACAGCCTTACTCATAAAAATCGACGTGAATTTATATAATGCTTTAAGTTTCACACACTCTCTCTCACTCTCTCTCTTTTTTATGCTAATATAAATAGACAATTTCAAAGATAATCAATAATTAAGTTAAACAGCCGCTTGTCGACGATTATAAGTAAGGCCGTTTACATATAAAGCAATACTTATTAACTTAAATTGTGATTTGAATTTAGGTCTTTACACTTACAAAATATTTGCTGTATAGAAATATAAAATAAATGCACAATTAAAGTAATAATTTATGTGAATAACCATATTTCTCCCTTATTGAACTAATCTTGGCTCGTCCCAGTTCGGACTGATAAGATTTTTGCCTAATGTTAGGCTCTGATACGAATGTGTGCTGTAGTACTCTAAAGAAGTTAGCACTTCAAATATCTCTTACATTTAACTATTATAAGTACAAATATATAGAGGCATACTCGATGGAACATAAGTAAATTACTACGCAATAAATTGATCACAATCTCCGTAAAACTCTACGTAACGTTCGTAGAGTAACGAAATGTATGTTGCGCGTTATGGCACTAATTTCTACAGAGATTCATAAAATCTGGCCCGCTATCTCACTACCGACGCTTCATGGAATTTGATCTGCTCGGGCTGGACTCTATCACAGTCACTTTTAGCTCTCGCCACTGTTTCTGTAAAGAGAGCAATAATATGATATAGAATAGGCTAACTTATTTAATATACATTTTTTTTTATTTATTGTAACAGAACCAACAGCATTTTGTAACATTATAAAATTAGTAAGTATTTACATTTTCTACTGCCAATTACAGGTTTTTACTTTATAAAAAAAAATCTTCTAACGTATCGCTACAACTGTGTGGAAATAATATTATACAGGGTTATTTTTAAAGAGTAGTCATTACGCCATTACGCATTTTACAAAATACAGTGCATATATGTACATCTACTAGTGTTTTGTTTTGTAAATATTTATTTGTGTGTGTATTTGTGTGTGTGTGTGTGTGTGTGTGTGTGTGTGTGTATGTGTGTGTGTGTGTGTGTGTGTGTGTGTGTGTGTGTGTGTGTGTGTGTGTGTGTGTGTGTGTGTGTGTGTGTGTGTGTGAGAGTGTGTGTATGAAAGAGGTGTGGCATGTTTGTACGTGTTATTTTTTAGATTTATACTACTTGCTATTTCTTAAAATTGAGATTATTTCTTTTTTTATGGAAGCTTTACTGTCGTGAAAAATATCAATAGTTTTTGTTGTAGCAGTTAAGTGTACGACTAATGACAGAATTTTGAGCATATTTAGAGCGACTTAAAGGGACATGAAATAGGGATGTATGTCTGGTACGCTTCGAAGGAGCATTGAATTGTAGGAATTGAACTGTCAATTCGGGACTATCAATTTTATTACTACAGATGTCGTGTAGAAACAAAATTTGTAGAAGTGTACGTCGGTCCTTTAACAGCAATAAGTTATGGTGATAGCAAGATTCCTTATAACTGCTTTTTTTATGTTGAGTACGATAATTTAACGTCTTAATAAATTTACATTGTATTTGGTCTATATTCTCTATATAAGACAAATAATGCGGATTCCAGACATTACAACAATACTCCAAAACACTTCTTACATAAGAATAATACAAATTTTTAATGCATTCAGAACATTACATCATACATTGTTTATATATTTTCTACGTGGTAGCCACAATGCAGCTATATTAATAGTATAGTTGTAGCACGAATGAGTCGGCTCGACCGGGAAAGGACCACGCTCTCACAGAATACCAGCGTAAAATAGCAGCTTAACGCTGCTGTTTTAGTGTGTTTCATGTGGTGAGTGTAGCGAACCAGACACCCTTTTTACTGAAAACAAGGCATTTCATTTTTGTCCTCACGGGCGACAATTTATTTGCATTTTGATTCGTAATCGAGGATAGATGTAGATTTCTATGGGCCACAACAACCACTTACCATCAGGGCGACTGTGTGCTCGTTTGTCACCCTTATCTTATAAAAAAATTAAAGGTTACATTGTTTTAGAAAAGCACGTAAAAATTACACCTCATGACTGCCATCTCTGGCTACAGAGCCATAAGTTTACAACTGTGTAGGTAATATGTCATAACACCTAAGTGTGTGTTTGTATCAATGCAGACTTGTATGTACACTACATCAAACAAAGTTACATGGATAATTATAATGAATGCAAATGAATTGGAAGTATTTATCTTAATAAATCGCTAAACAAACTATTAAATATTGATTTAATTTTTATAGAATTCCAGGAAATCTGTTAGCGTTGTTTATAACCTCGTTAACAACTTTAATCTTTAAGCTTAAAATACTATGTGCTAGAAGTTGAATGGCGGATAACTACGACTTTTTGGTTTCGTAATCCACATACCTAATTTATCATTCTTTCTGTTGCTTGTTTAAATTATACAATAGAAATAAAATTCAATAAAAATATTTTTTACATAATATACAAGAATAATTTTTAAATAATAATAAAAATGCCCTCCAGACCGAATTTTGGCCACGGCGGCCTGCCTCAACGAAGGCTAGCCATCGGTGCAGGTCAGGATTGTGGTGCCTAAGAGTATGCGCAAGCACAGGTGCACTCTCTATTCCCTCACTGTCATAATCCGAAGGGACGGTAAACCGATACGACCGGAGAGAAATCAGGCATGGCTTTACGTGCTTTCCGAGGCACGGCTGTGAGACACCGCCAACTTAATGACTCCGGGCAGCGACTGAGAATTTCTTAACAGAAAAACTCAATAATAGAGCAGTCGCACTACTACCACCGCTAGGCCAACAAGGCAGTAATTTTATTTTTAAATAGTATATTTATTAATGAAATCCTTACCAAAATCTCATTGTCTGGAACTCGGGATATGAAGTCCAATATGTCGTTATTTGGAACTCTGTCAGGATTTAGAGCTTTGCGTGTAAACTTGTATATACCTAAAAATAAAAAGTTTTAAACAAATTCTTAAATGTATATTTTATTATTTACCTCTAAATCTAAACTACAATTATAACAAATAAAAGGTAATTAATTTGTGCAAACGCCTGCTCGTATAGTGACGTAAGAATTCAAACAAGAACGCATATGAGTAATCTAACCTCTCTATGTAAAGTTATGGGAAAAATGTAGATCAAGGTAGGTAAAGTAAGTATACAGTTAAAAGTTCTCTTTCAATATCCAGTTTTAAATGGTATTCAAATTCGGAATAATGATTTTTGAATGTTTAATAAATAAGAAAATGAATACCCAGATATTATTCTGGAGAGCTATTGCCGTCGCTAAAGCTAACAAATGTAATATAATTTTGTATGTATGTGCATATGACCTTAGTCCGTCTGGGTAAGTGCAAACCTTCTATTTATATACACTCTACTTATATATTATTTTATCGGTAAGCAACACTGAGCTTATTGTCAGTTTTGTGTCTACAAGTTATCTCACCATTGTTGAAACAGATTAGTTTATTTTAGTTATTTTCACAGCGTAGTGTTATATGAAATTTTGCTATGGGGTAATGCGGCTGACATTGAAGTCTTAGAGAAAGAATCATTCTCTCACGGAATACCAGTGTAAAATAGCAGTCTAATGCTGCTGTGTTTCGTATGCTTAGTGAACGGAAACCCGTTTACTGGAAACTGGGCATTCCATCTAAGCCCTTAGCGGGAAAACGCATCTGCATTTTGATTTTTCATCGGGGATAGATGAAGATGTCTATGGGTCACCGCATCCACTTAAAATCAGGTGGATTGTGTGCTCGTTTGTCACCCTTATTCTATAAAATGAAAATAATGCGTCGGAAATGCTGGTAAAAGATTCATGGCCGAATAATTATACTAATGATAATTCACGTAGGTAATTATAAAGTCTGATATGGTATTAAGAAGCTGATCAGGAAAAATTTAAAACCATGAACTATGGACCTTGACTGCTGACAATATGTATACGGAAGTCATTCAACTCGTCTGCCGGTTTACTTGGATGCTGTTTTTGTGGCATGTACCGATAATTACGAGTGCAAAAAACAAACAGTTGACATTTCCTACGAAGCCACTTTGCATATACTTACTTTTAAATTAACTATAACTTTATGTAGGTATTAAGTTCTGACTAATTTTATAATTAGTTGTGAGCTGCGCAGAAGTTTACATTTCTATAAGCAACGAAAAACAATGAATAGAGTTGAGTGGAGGCTCTGATGTCGTGAACTATATATTTCAACGTGTAAACAATGATTTTCTATTCAGATTTAGGTTAGAAACAATTACATCCATAAGTTTAACCAACTAGAGTTATGTGTTTATTAAATTGTAGATATACAACAGATTATGACTATTAGTTTTCTTTAAATTTTTACTTCCTTTAAGAGGTTCATAAATGAATGTTAAATAACTCAATTCCGCACTTGAGTTACGTGTCGCAAGATGGTAATGAGAATGGGTGCGTTTGGCAGAAAAAAGCGCTAGAAGCGCTAGCAAGCGCTTGTAAGCAAAATGGCGATCGTAAGCGGTAAGCGCTGTCAAATCGTAAGTAGCTATTTTCCTCCAGGACACGATGTTAGTTTTAACCGGGGAATCTAACCTAATTTAAATATATGTTTGTAAAGTATTCATATTAAAAACTTACCAATCATGAATTTTTAATAACATGTATATGTTTATTCATGTCATTATATTACTTAAAACTAATATTGCACAAAACAACTTATAAACTCTACTTCAAAACAAACAAATTAAATAAGCAAAATGGCGGATTGTGTCAGCGCTACTGAAGGAGCAATCGTGTCCTGGCCGAAAACTATTTTAGCGCTTGTAAGCGCTTGCTAGCGCTTTTTTCTGCCAAACGCACCCAATATGTTAATTGTTAAACTGAAGAGATCTGGTGTAACTTACCTAACGCCATAAATATGTAGTTAATAGGGATTAGATAAAAGGCTATTGCTGCAGCTATGAACGCCATTATAGCTAAGTAGCTTAAATACGGCACACTGAAATTCACCAGGCTGAAACAAATAATTTTATACTTCGCTAAATGTAATTTATATTCAACAAGCAGTATACAATAAAGTTTTGTTTTCATAATTTATTTATTTATTTATTTATTTAGGTACACAAAACAGAATAACACCAAAACATGAACAATTGAAAATAATAAATACAAAGTTACAATCTGGATGGTATTCCAAAACATGTGCACACAACATGATATTAAGTAACGGTAACGATTATACAGCACAAATAATTAAAACCTTACTTATAAACATACTATATTTATGAACTTATGTTGTGGAAAATTTTGAAAAATTAAATCTTTATTAAAATAATGTTCATTAACCTACATATTTAAATTTAAATTTAAATTTTAAGCCTTGAATGCCTTATTTACAAAATATATCTAATACAGATTTTTTGAAATTGTTTAATTTGTTATTAAAAATATCTATATTTTTACTATTATTAATCAATAAGTCATTATATAGGCGACACATTCTTACAAGAGGATTGTAATAGGACGTATTATTTCTATAAACTGTTTATGTTGTCTGTGTATAATTATTTTAAAACAAAATTTTAAAGTAACTAGGTATATTTTTATAGGATTAAGGCGACAAACGATCACACAGTCCACCTATATATTTTCGAATACGAATCAAAATGCAGATGCGTTGTCACCCGTGAGAACTAAGATGGAATGCCTCGTTTCTAGTAAAAAGGGTCTCCAGTTCTCTTAACTGGACTACACGAAACACAACAGTATTAAACTGCTATTTTACTTTGGTATTCTGTGAGAGCGTGGTCCTTCCCTGGTCGAGCCAAATCATTCGTGCTATACTAATAATATAGTTGCAGCATGACTCAACCACGAGACAATTTTTTATTTTCTCTACTGGATATAGGTTTTCCAAAATCGCACCTAGCTCAAGTCAATTAAAGTACTTTTAAAAAAATTCTAAATGTAAAAAAAATATTGTACACGAATTAGGAAATTCTAACTCTAAAGAAATCATATCAAATACAAATCCTATATCCTATTTGTATATTTTTAAATAATATATACCCAATTTAACTTAAAATGGAATACTACCAAGTTTTAATATACTACAGTTTATATTATGATGTAGTTATTTAGTATTTACTCGTATTATTGGTGGTGCCAACTATCCAATTGTCGATCACACACACGTTACGCAGGGATATTAGTGAGTTCAGATTCCATACATTATCATGGATAAGTGGTAGTTACCACCACCAGAAGGTGGATGATGATGACGATGATAATGATGATGACGACAGTGATGATGATGGTAGCGATGATGGTGGTGTCAACTTCCAACCCAATTGTCGATAAACACCATGTTACGCAAGAGAATTAGTGAGTTCAGATTCGATATAGTATTATGGACGACTGGGTGATTGACACCACCATGAGGGTGATGATGATGGAGGTGAAAGTGGTGTGCTAGTGGTGGTATTTGAATGGATGCTCGTGTCCCATAACCTACCAACCACTCACTAGAGCCTCGTTCATAGGCAACGTGCCACCACACGTGAGGTTGATATAATATTCCACGTAGAAGGTAAAAAATAAGGTCAAACGGATAGAAACAAAACATATTTTTCTTGTTTTTAAAGGTTAATGAATTGGAATAGTTTATTAACATTGATGAATAAATAAAAGATCACACTTACTTTCTTATTCTCTCGAGCAGCGAAACGATATAGTCAATGCTATTTTTGATAGTGAATGTGAGATCTTGTAGCTCATTTAATCGTTTCATAATTGTTTTATCGTCCTGTTCAAACGTTAAAAATGGATTATAAGACAAAAGTGAACTTTACAGTATGAAACAGCTATGTGACTTCGAACTATAATTAAATTAATAAAGAAAACCTAAAACCTGGAATTTCAAGAATGATATTAGACTTGTGCCGAGCAGTTGGTCATATACAGATTACAGACTGATACTATACTTATATTTCTTTTATTAATACATAAACACCTATTAAAATCCACCGCCAAACGTGGGCTTACTCCATAGATTGCCTTAAAGGGGAGAGTATGCCATAGTGCCATGCTTAGGGTTGGGTGCGGGTTGCCAACTGCAGTTGATTTAAAAACTAAGATGTTATCAGGAAGATGCTGTTGCTCATCTTATGTCTCAGTTTCGCTGTCGCCTTTGACTACACCCACAGGATGACTTGGAGTACTTTATATTCTTACACTGCCATTACATTTATAGTTTTTATCCTAAGTTAATATCTATTTGGAATGTCATTAAGGGTTAAATTATAGCATAATAACACGTAATTTTACCTTTTGTATTTCTATATCTTCTTCAGCTAGTTCATCATCGGATTGAGTAGGGGGTAGCGGAGTACAGTTATTACCTGCATTAATTATATTATTTGCATTATACGCTGAGATTTCAGAAGGAAATATGTCTCAAAACAAAAAAGAAGTGAATTTAAAACTTACTTCGATATGCAGCCCAGTAAGGAATGAATGGTAAGACTAAAAGAAGTGGTGTCATCCACACTCGGAAATAGTACCAGAACAGCAACCAACCTCCTAGCGCCAATGCTGATTTTTCACGATTTTCCCACTCAAATGTTCTCCTAAAAGACAAGAAAAAAAAAACGTAAAGGAGTCTATTTATAATAATAACACATCACTAATGTCGATAAAATGTATAGGTAAGTGGAAGCGAGAGGTCCGATAAAACTTAATAGTGAACAGCAGCAGCTTAGTTGGCTCCGCTGAAATTTTAGTTGTAATTTTAAGCATAAATCTATTACGTTGTCGACTGTGCGGTAAAATCGTGAGGAAACCCGTATATTTTTTTAGATAAAAGTATTTTTTTACATAAACACGAAAATAAATATTTTGGGGATCTGCAAAATACAACAACAAGGATCGCAGCAAAGAGTCGGACTAACTATAGATAATACACGAGACTAACTGTACATAAATAAATCTTTCATAAAAAAAGAGAGAGGCGCACTGTACTGAGTAGCTGGATCGGGCACATTTATGCTGTTAAAATAACATTACCATTTTTATGGCCCCTTTATCCGTTACTTTTAAGCTTTATATGACAATAAATAACATATGATAAAATATACCACTATATTTTATCATTTGACTATATCCTATAACCATTTACGGCTCTTGAGCTCGTGCGTTCGAATTTCTGCAGGAATTAATATTTGAAAAAAAAAAACTAGAGCAAGTTGTTTTATGACTAATTCTCGATATTTATACTATATACCTACCTCCATATCATAGAAGGATAGGACGAACGACAGCCTCGACATTTGCTCGTTACCGTAGTCTTGTACAGTTGTTATTTTTAGACTTCAACAGAATTGTTCGTTACTAGGAATTTGACCTTTAATCTATCTTAATACCTAATATATTAGCGTAACAGTTGTATTTAATATAAAACTTGATTCTACTTACTTGGTAACTATTAATTAATCCGTGATTCTACTAAAAATAATACAAATAAGACAACGCAGTTGACAGTTGCAAAACTAGTTTTTATTATAATTATCATGTTGCCTTTAAAGGCATGCATTTTTTAAACATTTATTATCATCGTATTTACCACCTATGAAAAAATCCATGGACTTCCATTTGCTTGGATTATTTTTAGTGAATTATTGAGTATTAGTGTAAAGCTTTTATATTATAAGATAATTGATTGTCATTCACGTAAATAAATAAATGCTTTTAAGTACGCGTAAAGAAAAGGCTAACTGTTAATTAGTTTACTAAAATTTATAGTAAAAAACTTATTGACATATCGGTGATGTGTGATTAACACATGACACTCCGGGAAGTCTGCAGTATGTCTGCAGTAGGATCGACCCAACCATTTTATCAGATTTGATGGACCACAATTCCTCGCAAAAGAACACGGATTCCTACCAAGGATGATTCGCGATGCTATTCAAATTAAAGTGCATCCTATCTTCAAAAGAGAATATGGCTGGGCGCCATACCATCTGCCTGGAATCCCATAATTAATAAAATAAAATCCAAGCCTGAGCATACTACTGCAAGACTTCAAGATACTGTAAGCTCGTTCTGTAAAGTGCCCGAAACGTTGGGAATAAAAAAAAATAAACGCGATAAAATCAGTAAAATTTGTTTTATTCCAAAAAAATTATTATTTTTATTATATTTATTTTTGGTAATTATTATTATTTTGCGTTATTGGTAGAGTACAACATCTGGTTGGGCTGGATAAATACATAAAAGGAAAAAATAAATATACTTAAATATATATTTACTATACTAACATAAATAAATAAATAATACATAAATAAATAAAAGCCCAACCAGATGGAAGCCCTCGGCAGGGGAGACCAAACGGCCGAGGGTTAGGGGGAAAGGGAAAGAAACCGGCGGACGATGCGGGCGGTATCGAGGAGCACCCCCTTCTGCATTTGAGCCCGGAGCGGTCCGTCACGGAGTCCCAGTCGCCTCAGATGGCCTGAGAGGCTGGCTGGGATTAACCCGTTTGCAGACACGACTGCAGGAATAATTTCGTTCGGCAGACCACCCCACATGTCGGTCACCTCGCGAGCCAGGTCCAGATATTTTGATAGATTTTCTGTTTCGGCTTTCACGAGGTTCTCGTCATACGGAATGATAATGTCGACCAAAAATATCCTTGACTGTGCCCGATCCATTAGCACAATATCAGGCTTATTCGCAAGAATAGTCCTGTCTGTGATGATGGCCCGGTCCCAATAGAGCCTGGCGCGATCATTTTCGAGCACGGCTTCCGGCAAGTACTTGTAATACGGCAATTTCCGATCCACGAGACCGTATTTCAGAGCGAGTTCCTGGTGAAGAATTCTGGCTACTAGGTTGTGCCTGTGCAAGTACTCAGAGTTAGAAAGCGTCGAACAACAGGAGATGACATGCCTAAGTAACTCACCGGGATGGCGACAAGCTCAACAAATGTCGATGGTGCCATCCTTTAGGATGTATCTCCGATAGTTGTTGGTCTTAATAACCTGATCCTGTATTGCACAGACAAAACCCACGGTTTCCCCGAAGAGGTCACCGAAACGTAGCCAGTTGAGGGAGGCGACTGTATCTACTAAGGGCTCATGTAGAGCCCTGTAGTACCTCCCGTGGAGCTCCTTCTCCTTCCATACGGTCTCCCGGTCGGAAATGCTAAGCACTGCTGGGTCCTGCCATTGCTCGTTGGCTAAGGATAGAGGGGTAAGCCCTTTATCACTAGCAATGACGTCATTATAGAATGGATCATCCGATCTTGCCAGGAAGTAATCACGGAGGCTGCACACTTCGCGATTATGCATGGTGAGCGCGCTCAGAAAGCCACGCCCACCATGCTTTCGCGGCTAAGTACTCGCGAAGTACCGCCTCATTACCGACGATCTCGGATGATGCATCCTATGGGACGTCATTGTAGTGCGGACTTTTATATCCAGGGCGTTAAGTTCAGTCTGAGTCCACCTGAGTATGCCAAAGGTATACATGAGGACAGGCATGACCCAACCGTTATATGCGTGTGTCTTATTCACACCGGACAAAAGGCTGTTAAGCACTTTGGTCAAGCGTGCATAAAACACGTCGCAAACTGACTGTTTCATACCAGCCTCATCGATACCGATGTTCTGTGACATACCCACCAGGTATCGGTATGTTTCAGCCTCGGAAAGGGTCCTTAAGTTGACGGGCATAGATAAATCTATGCCCTCCGAGTTAGCAACCCTTCCCCTCTCAACATGGAGGACCGCACACTTATCCGTCCCCAGCTCCATTCCAATGGAATTGCTAAACTCACAAGTGATGTTTAGCAATTCCATAAGATGGGAGCGACTGGAGGCGAATAACTTAAGGTCATCCATATAGAAAAGGTGGGTCACTTTTGTCCCTCCTTTCCGTAGCTGAAATCCCTCTCCCGGAGCCCTCCAGTAAAGTACTAAGAGGGTTCAGAGAGAGGCAAAACCAGATTGGACTCAGACAATCGCCCTGGAAGATACCCCTTCTTATCCTTATGTGGTTCTCAGCAGCCACCATCCGCTCGCCCAGATAGCAAAGGATCGTACTCCACTGCCCCATACACTGCCCGAGGAAGTCTCCAACTGTACAGTCAATCTTGTACAGCTGGAGGACTCTCTTTAGCCATGTATGGGGCACCGAGTCAAATGCCTTTCTGTAGTCTATCCAGGCGGTGGAGAAGTTCCGACGGTTGCGTTTCAACACTTTGCCAATGACTGCGTCAATGGGGAGTGGTTCCTTGATTCCACGACCACCGCCCCGATATCCATTTGGAGCGCGTACCATCACCTGATTTAGCTCCAGGTGACGAGTGATTCTCGCGCTCAAAATGATGTCAGTGTCTTAATATTTGGTGGGTAGACACGTGATGGGGCGGTATTTGCTCGGGTCTGTGGTATCCTGATCGTTAGGAACCAAGTGAGTGATCCCAATAGTGAAGAGGCTCGGGAGCGACTTCTGATCGAGAGCCTCTTGAAACTGTCGGGCGAGCACAGCGTGACACACTACGAACCCCTTCAGCCAGTAATGATGCAGCTCGTCGAGCCCCGGACTTTTCCAGTTCGGGGCCCTACGGACCGCCTCAGCCACGTCTTCAGGCGTTATGGTGACGGGGTCCATAGGCGTAACACTTGCACTCTGGCTCGCCACAACTTCCATCCAAGGGCCCTCGCTGTGGTTTACGGGGTCTGATAACATTATTATTATTATTAGAAATTTAGGTACAAAAACCATGGAGGGATGAGGACTGCGTTTAGCTACGGGACATACAATGTAACATATATAGGCTAAACTGCCATATGTTTTTTAGTTTATAGTGAGGATCAAGGCCGTGCATTTTGGCAAACTTGTGGCGAAGCAATGATAATATTAGTTTATGGAAAGTGTAGAACTTAAACCATAGAATACTATAATACATACATAGTAGAACGGGGAGTGGGCGGAGCCCGCGTAGCTACTAAAATGTCACTAACACGCCAATTCACACGTATAAATGTCAACATGAGATGTGTTTTGACGTTACAATCGTTTCCAAATTTCGCATGCAAATTATTATAAAATTGCACCCTATTTACAAATAAATATGTATTAAAATTTAAACGATTTTTTAATGATGATCTTGAACAATAATTAAAAGTCTAAAATATGTAAATTTATGCAGTCTGTGAACACAGCGAATCGGGTTTGGCGACGCCAAACCTCGTACAAAATAAAGTTGACAGCCATTCTATTGTGTATTACAGTATTCTATGACTTAAATGCACTGAATATATACATATAGAAACGTTCGAATATAAAAAAATACGATGTGTTATTATATAAATATAATCTTGCTCGTGTTTTTTATTGCCTACTAGCTGCTCCCCGCGAGATTTCATTATATTATTACGAGATTTCATGGGTTTAATTTTTTTTGCGCGGAACCCGAATTATTGTTATTTAATTAAAGTAGCTCCTTATAACATCAGCTATCTGTCAATGAAAGTCCCGTCAAAATCGGTCCAGTCATTTAGGAGATTAGTCGGAACAAACAGACAGACAGACAGACAAACCGATAGATAGACAAAAATTTAAAAAATTGTGTTTTTTTTTTGTTATAAGCCGCGTATATACTTACATGTGCATTTATTAAAGCGCTGATATTTTGACATTACAAACAGACACTACAATTTTATTTATTTGCATAGATTAATATAGGGGTCATGCGTATTATTAGGTTAAATTGTCTCTATAGTTGATATCTATACAAATAAATAAAATTTAAGTATATGTTTGTAATGTCAATATAACATCTTTAACTGAATGTATATGAAAGTATATACGGTATACATAACAAAAACCAATTTTAAAAATATTTGTCTTCTATCCGTCCGTTTGTTTGTCTGTCTATCTGTTTGTTCCGGCTAATCTCCTAAATGGCTAGATCAATTTTGACGTGACTTCTTGAGGTAGATAGCTGATGTCATAAGGAGTAATTTAAGCTAAATTTATTTTAGAAAAAGAAATAGGGTTCCGCACAAAAGATCGAAACCCAAGAAACTCAACTGTAATAAATTATACCCCGACGAAGCCGTGTGTCGCATCAATAGGCAGACTTATTCATTAAAAAGGTTAAGTATATTTATAAAGGTGAATATTTTTTGCAAATTAGCTAAAGGTATCATGATATTTTGTCCACTGAGTCGGAAAAAATCGTGCCTCCGATAAAGTTAATCGTAAATTGTTGAAATTATATAAAGATAATGTATGGTGGAATATTTATTTTCAAAGAGACGACGCGAAAACGACTGTAATATGTGTCTAACTATAAAGATTAATTGTAAAAACAAAAAGAAAACTATAAAATGCACATAATAAAACTTCAGTATATTTGAATCGTGTGTGCAACAAAGTAGGTTAGGTACACCTTTGTTGTAAATTAATTTATTATAACGTCATTATTATTACCACATAATATATAATAGTCATTACTAATAACTAAACTATAATCATTACTGACTGAAATATAACGGGACAACTACATTAATCGTTTTGTGCATTTTATCAAGAAGTTTTTAGAAGAATAGTTAGAGAATTTTAGAAAATTGGGTTAAAGCCCATTTTTTCACCAGTAGTTTCGTTTTAGTACATGAAATGTTTTTACGATAGGTTGCCGTGTAGCTACTCAACACTTACTCAACACAACTTATTATCATAAAATCTTGAAAACGATTGGAGGCGTTGATGTAATGTTAAGTTGTTAATTTTCATACTGTAATAATTCTTTAATTACACTGTAAAATTTCCGGAGTCGGAGTGAATTCGAATTGAAACTCACAGCGCCAATTACCAAGAGAGGCAGAACAACGTCCGACGGCTAGTTAGTCGAATTATTAAATTAGGACATAGAAGCGCTTAAAACAAATTGGTAGCAAATTGGTAATAAAATGAGAACGTTAAATAAGCAGCGTAATATATTTTCTTTATAAATTAAGAAGGAACTTTTTCTTTATAAATAAATATCTTTTAAATTTAGTTAAAGATTCAAATACTCACTTGAAATATTCATTTCCTATATAAATGCCATCGAATACGGATTTGATGAACTTTAAATTGTAGTAGATTAAAGGAATGCTGAACTTTGGTGATTTTTGAATGTACTTGGTCTCCTTTGGGCTTAACACCCGTAGCGACGCTTTTATCTGAAAGAAAATACCACACTTATTGCACCTAAGAATTAAAGTTTAGTAATAGGTCGGGGAAAAGTTTCTTTTATTTTGTTTGTATAAAATTGATGAAAACTATCTTTGATTGTACATTTGTGTATCGTTGTTGACATTAAGAAAAAGTAAAATATTATGTAAAAAAACAGTCCCTCCATTTTTGAATTGTTTTTCTGTCCACCAAAATGAGTGAATCTAACGAAGAAATTCGATACATTCTGAAGTTTTATTACAAAAAAGGAAAAAAATGCGACTCAAGTCCCGAAAAAAAATTGTGACGCTTACAACCCTAATTCAGTGTCCGTAAGAATGGCACAAAGTTGGTTCAAGCATTTTCAGTCCGGGAATTTTGATGTCAAAAATGCAGCTCGTTCTGGCTGCCTTTATACGGATTGATCATACGGATTGATTAAATCGATGCCATTTTTGAAAACATGGAAAAAGATTGACCACAAAACAGTTTTGACTCATTTGAAAAAGTCTGGCTATACAAAAAATCTCGATATTTGGCCACATGAGCTCACTGAAAGAAATCTAATAAATTGTGTACTCATTTCCAATTCTCTAATGAAACGTATTGAAAACGAACCATTTTTGTAAAGATTGATCACTGGTGATGAAAAGTTGATCACCTACGACAAGAACGTGCGAAAAAGATCATAGTCAAAGAGTAGTCAAGCTCCACAAACTGTAGCGACAGCACCGACCTGGATTAACACCCAATAAGGTGAATCTGTGTGTATGGTGGGATTGAAAGGCCATCTTTAATATGAGATTTCACCGCTGATCCAAAAAAACCATCGATTCGGATCTCTACTACCAACAACTAATGAAAATAGCAAGAAATTGAGAAAAACCGGTCGGAAATGATCAACAAAAAAATATTGTCTTTCATCATGATAATGCCAGACCACACACATCTTTGGCCACTTACTAAAAATTGAGAGAGCTTGGTTGGGAAGTTTTAATGCTTCCACCATATAATCCTGACCTTAGAATTCTTTGGGTAGTGTTAGGTAAACATCTAGAAATTATTGTCAAAACTACTTGTCGCATTTTTTTGATCAAAAATCTCAAGATTGCTACAGCAACGGATGTTATCACCTACAAGTTTTTTTTTATAGAAGAGGGAGCAAACGAGTATGCGGCTCACCTGATGGTAATATTGACTGCCGCCGCCCATGAACAACCGCAACATCAGGGAAATTGCAAGTGCCTTACTGGCTTTTTAGAAAGGAGTAAGCTCTTTTCTTGAAAGTCTCTAAGTCATATCGGTTCGGAAAAGTCAAAACGTTAAACGTCGACGCTAAAAAACATAGAGGTTGTACAAGGAAGAAAACTCCGAGTAAAACGCACAGTGGTGGACCGTCAAACATCCATATGGTGAGGATGGTGAGGATGGATCTGCGTTCGTGAAATTTGGCGGCTGGAACTAATCTGAACAATTCCTCAGAGCACTCCCCGTGGTAGACACAATAGGAATCGCAAAAGGATGCAACATGCCTACGCAGCGCCAGTGAATCGAGTCGATCAGAAAGAACTCGGTCGTCGACGATTCGAATCGCTCTGCGCTGGATGCGTTCAAGTGGAAGGAGCTGGTACTGGGGTGCCCCGGCCAGGAGATGTCAACAGTATTCAATGTGAGGCCAAACTTGAGCTTTGTAAAGTTGTAAGCGATGTGCCGGCATGAAATACCGTCTCGCTCTACTGAGCACGCCAAGCTTTTTAGAGGCCAATGAGGCCTTCCCCTCCAAGTGACCGCGAAACTGAACCACTATTCGAATATATATATATATATATATATATATATATATATATATATATATATATATATATATATATATATATATATATATTTATGATAATTGAATGTAATTAACATTTGAAAATAAAAATGTCTTGAAGTTGTATATAAAATACGAAGAAACTTTTTTCTCGACCTTATATTTTACTTATTTTTTTCGGTAGGTCTTCTTTTGTTCCTATTCTGGCTAGGAGCCGTCCGGGTAATTATACCTCTTACCCCCGTATTACCTCTATTCCCTCTCACCTACTAGCTGCTGTCAAATAGCAGTGGCTGTATTGCTGTATTCTGGTCTGAGTGTATAGAGAGCCAGCTTCGTTACAGGCTGTGAGATTTTCCATCTTAGTCCTCAGAGGTGATAACGCATCTGGAGCCTTGTTTGTTTAAAGTTGGCTGCAAGTGTACATGGTCATTTATCATCAAGTAGACTGTAAAACTCCAAACTTTAAATAATTTCATCAAATAAAGTTATTGTTAACGAGGCTGCGTTACTCTATACAGTGGCGCCTTGCTTTTGTAATATTATTATCTAATTTTATGTCAAACACGATAACAACCGGTTATATAGATAAATCCGTTCAAGTTTAGTAGTTCAAGTGTGAGTAATTTAATATATGTATTATGGTACCAAAGGAAAAAAAAAAAAAAAAAAAAAAAAAAAAAAAAGGAACCAAAAAAAAAAAAAAAAAAAAAAAAAAGTATAAATAATTAAAAAAAAAAAAAAAAAAAAAAAAAAAAAAAAAAAATTAACATAGTTTTTTTTATCTGTGACCCACGTAGCCGAACACAGTAATTAAATCACTGTCTCTATCACTGCAGACCACATCACAAGTATACTGCAAAAAATAGGCCTCCCATATGTTGTCACAAAGTATGATCCTGAGCCCGCTGCCTACATTGACTACCTGCGTATTTTATCGTTACCCTATCTAGTGAGTGGTCAATATGAGGCTGCAACTCGAGAAACTTTCTTCCCCACATGATGTTAATTCTTCGAGCTACATTTTGCCACTTCAGCTAACTGATCCCCCGGGTTATGTCAGTTACTTTTTTATTCTGTGGATATTCAAGTTACGGATTTTATCTGATTAAATTCCGAGCTCCTCTTACGGCCGGTAAGATGAAAGACCACGCACTGCTTGTACACTTTTTTTAGTGTCTGAGGAATATGGGACAAGAAGATTTGTCGCAGAATTTTTTTCGAGTGCTGCTCAGCTGAGTTGGATTCGGCGGCTGACCTCTTGATCGAAGTTGGACATACCTGATCAGACATATTGTCCCGGGTAGGGGTCCCTACACATATTTGTCAAAAACTTCCTGATAGTTGTTGAGTGGTTAATTAAGTAAAATATTCAAAATCAAATAATAATTACTATGTAGTATTTAAATGAAAAACAATTATTTTGTGTACTAAATAAAATTGTGAAGTTAAATACACATTTTAATTTTTGTTAGGCAAATAAATAAACGACATGCAATAATGTTTTCATACCGGATTCCATTCCAAAGACATCTCTAAAAGGATCCGAGGACAATTTCCTTTAGCGCTATTCTTTTTCGATCGATCTTTTAGAGCATACCACTTTTTCTCATTGTTTATTATTCTTAACAACGGTATAGATATTTTGCCAAGTGTTTCTCCTTTCATCGACTGAATTATTGATTCATCGTAAACAGTTATCTCCAATGTTGATGTCACATCGTTGATTGTGCTAAAAAATACAAATTTAATGATTTATGAGATATGTTAGGTTTATTTGGTCTTCTCTATGAAGTTGTAACATCACAGTTCTAGCAGATATTAAAAACGATTGACTGTTTTAATGACGTTAATTGTGACAAATTTCATTTAAGGATCTTGAGCTTTTGCTCGTTAAAACAAAATATTTTTGATTCTTTTCTATTGTGATTGGTATTATACAAATAACTTAGTAAGGATAGATGTTTCTTTAACCATAAAGGTATAAGAAACATCGGCCAATAAATAATCATAATACAACATACTGTGATGGAATTTTTCCCCTGTAACAGCGATGCGTAATTCTGAATGTTATTAATCAAATCATTTGATTAGTCCGTTTCTTCGAATTATTTGAACGATTGTCAAAATTTTATTAGTAATTTAGTGTTACTAATCTCACTAAAAACTTAGATGGGAAAAGGGACCTATGATCGGTAAAAACAACATATGAGCTTGCCGACATCGTCGATAAAATGGTTGAGGTCTGAACGGGTGCCAAGTTCCATAGCACCATAGCTATAGGAACGAACCACGTACATCAATTGATTTAAAAGAAATTATGTCACTTTCGTTGACACTGAATTTATGTAATTTAGAAATATTGGATGCCGTAAGAGGTGACTTTGAATAGTGCCACAAAAACCGCTCCGTCCCCGGTCCCCAATAGATCGGTATAAACATCTCGTTTACGTCAATCGTAATAAACCGAAACCAGTGACGGAGAGCAGCATCAAGGATGCAATAATTCTGTTAGTGCAATTGGCAGTCAGCAAACCAAGCTGTAAAGTTTTAAAAGATCATCAAGGAGTAAGAGAAGAAGACCTTACAGCCAGCAAAGTTAGTGACCAATAACAATCATAAGGCTGCTGTTCTTTCTAATGGTTAAAAACTACTTTACTAAATAAATTGACACTATAAAGTCAGTAATCGTATTAACTAATAATCTATCTATGTTATACCAGCGACATTACTCCTAATAACTTATAGGTAGCTTATCGACACTACCTGTAGGGATTCGGCAGTTGAATTGAAAGGCCCCATCACAAAAACGAACAGAATCAGCATCAACAGCGTATAAAAATAGATAAAAATATAATTTGGATAAACACAAGTCGTTAAATTCCATTGTGTTGTTTGATATGACAACCATGCAGCAAGAAGTTGTTCAATGCCTACGAGTACATGTAAATATGTAATTTTAGGTACGAAGTTACTCATATGAATTAAGGAAGTTTTTTGCACCCAAACACTAGAAAAAGCGTTGAGTCGTATGGTTAAATTGTAATATAATTCTGTATTTTTGTCATGTAAAAAACAGGAAACGGACATTGTATTAAAATTAATTGTATAGACTTTTTGTTACTTGTACGATCCATGTACTTCAGTTAATTTTTAAATAGCAAATTACATGAATAGATGGCGAGAAACATAGTATTCGATATGTAATTAGCCTTGCGACTTTTCTTCTTTTACCGTCTCGGCAAATAAGATATATTATTAATGTGCATACGTTTGTAATAAATAAAAAACACAATGATATCATGAAATCTTATCGCATTTAAGTAGCTAATGAGGCTTTGAGTTGGACTGAATGCGATCACTAATAACGACAACCTCTCGGAGAGGGTTTTCTTGCCCATGAGTGACCCACAATTTTTTTTTGCGAATTTAAGTATTTTTAATAGGACATGACAAAGGTTCGCCGAAAAGGGCAGAACAACGTCTGCCTGGCAAGCTAGTATTATGATAAAACAAGACATAGTACAAACATACTTAAAGATTCGTAACACTAAATTTGAAAAAAAAGTAAGCAAGTTACTTACAATATGAATTTTTTATTCCAATTCGGATCGCACGTGCTGTGTACCGCATGAGTCTGAACCCTAGCGTTGTCTATCTCCAAAACGCAGTAGGCGTCTATGTTACCATTGATACCAAGTGAACCCAACCCCCTTGCGCCGTGTACGGTGACAGATAATCGGCCCACTTCATTCCAGTTGTTTTCAAGATGATACCAGGACTGAAGACAAACAAAACCAACATTTTATTTGAATCATACAATCATAATGTAAAAAAATGTTAAACGTCATATTATTTACGTCCGGGAGTATTTACATAATTATCGTGGTTACTAGCTTTATAAAATCGTTGGTGCGTTTGTGAGACCGAGGGTCATATTTACAAAATTTACCTCTTCTTGAGACGTGAGTGTTACGTTTGCGTATTACGAGTCCGCAATCGGTTAGGATTTGCAGAGGTGTTTCTTCCGTTAAGGAGTAGTATCAGCACATCCTTGTGTTACTTAGTCTCAGGATGGATATGTGCTTTTATATACATTGTCCAATCAAGGCTCTTGCCAGAATGCGCAGTTTATTCTTACTTAATCCCAGGACTCATATATCATAAGCCCGGATTAAGGTTTAAGAATATTTTTAACCTTGTGCATCAGACCAGATCTTAAGTAATTTATTGTGATAAATAAGTTCAAGAGTCAAACGGGCTAAGCTTTTGAGATTTCATAAAATGGGTCGGCAAGTTCAATTGCCTACAATACCTGGGTATTGTAGGCAATTGAACTTGCCACCAACAATCACAATACAGGGGTAGAGCAAATTGGTGTGATAGAAAAAAAAGAGGTAAAAAAGAATGCACATATTTATAAATATCCTATACATACATATATAGGTACTACAAACATACATACACAAAAATAAAATACATATATAATGAATTATTTAATTAATTAAGTGCAATTAATATATTACATATTATATTATATTTAATGGCTAGTGAAAGCGAAGTTACAATTTAAAGTGCGAATTATTGATGTACTTACGTACTTTTTGCTATCTGAGATCATGCATAAAATCGGTGTTTCCTTTATTGAGCTGAGCAGGGATCTTAATCTGTAGGAAACCAAGTTCAGAACGCCCTGGACATTCAGTAACAGTGTTTAAGTAACAGTGTTAAACATTGTGTGATGTTCGGAGTTTTACTGCGTGATAGAATTCATAATAAAGATATCTGCAGTAGAACTAGTGTAACCGATATAGTCCAACAGATCAGTTAACGGAAGTGGCAATGGGTCTACCATATAGTCCGAAGAACCGGCAACCGATGGGGAAGAAAGGTTCTCGATACCAGCCATGCAGCCTCGTACCGGTAACCAGTAAGCAGTGTAGAGTACACTAGATGGAATAACCACCTGGTAAGTTATGAAGGCAAGAAGCCGTCTGATATTAGTGGTTTAGGAGGGAGGACCAATTCGATGTGGGAAGTCAAGTTTTGTAACAAATTTCATAAAATCAGTTACAGAAATATGTAATTGCGATTTTAATCAGATCACATGGCGCTTTGATGATATGCAACCTTTATATAATTTACCAAATGTTAACTATCATCAAGGAATTCCAAATCTTACGTTTAATGGTGAATACTCACATCTTGTTATTATTGATGATGTAATGAGAGGGCCTGATAGAAGAATTGTAGATATATTTACAAATATTGGTCATCACGGGAACTTTAGTGTATTTTATTTAACAAAAAATTTATTTCATGAGGGTAAAGATCAAAGAGACATTTCTTTAAACTCAAGTTATTTAATATATTTTAAAAAGCTTCGAGATAAAACTCAAATAAAATATTTAGCACGACAAGTGTCACTAGATAACCCAAAATTCATTAAAGATGCAACTCTAGAGGCGGATGGAAATTTAATGGTAGATTTAAAACAGAATACCAATGATTTTTGTCGTATCAAGACAAATGTCAAAAGAGTTTAAATACACCAAGAATCAAACAGTACAAATCATTTCTGAATGATCGATCGTTGACTCACAACGCATAAACATTTGCCAAACGCTTTGCATACGCTTAAAACAAAATATCAAAGAGCATTACTCAAAACGTGTGGTGAAAAAAAAATTGTGTTTGTCAATGTATTTATAACGTTTTATAAGGAAAGGTACCTCTTAAAGATCAAGATAAACAAAATTTGAATAAACACAAAAATATATTCCCTAAACTGGTGCGTAAGTGTAAACATAAACTAAGACACTAAGACCCTTAAAAAGAAAGAAGAAGACCCTGATCCGATTGGGTGGGATAGTTTTGCTAAAGCATTAAAAGATGTAAAAGTACCACTTACTTATATTGGAAATCCAAAGACATGTGAGTTCATTAACCAGCTTCAAGCAAAAGATCTGAACAAACCCTCTGAGATTGAAGTTCAAGAGGTGTTTACCAGGTAATAATTAAAATGCTGAAATTACTTCTGGTAATAATTAAAAAGCTGAGGGTACTCCGGGTTAACACTGGCGTCAGTCACTTCAGTCTCCCGTGACTTTGGGTGCGGGAAAGCACCCGAAACGTCGGGAATTAAAATTCATATATATTAAACGCGATAAAATCCGTAAAAGTAGTCTTAATCAATGTGAAATGTTCGCGTAAATATAAGAAATCGATGACACTGGCTTCGTATCACTAGTAAACTATACTCTTAGGAGAATGGTTAAAATAGCTGTTAAGTAAATGTTCTGCAATATGCAAAAACAGATTTAGAAGTCGGTGCTAACGTATACCTACAAGAATTAAAACTCCGACTTAAGGACCCGTTATATGGAATTTTTAGTTCTTTAAGTTCGGTTTTCTTTTTTATTAAAAACTTAAATTTTGAGTTTACTAAGTGTTATCACAAACTCGTAGGTTACAACTATAATGTTATCTAAATAGTAATACTGTAATAGGTATATTATAAGAACATTAAAAACGTGCCCCGTTTTCCATATTTGTACCCGTCAAATACCACATATATACATAATATGCTTTTAAATAAACTTAAAGTATCTGCCTGTTGTATCGAAATAACAACTTTTAAGACATGGATAACGATGTAAAAATGTTTCACTGTCTGTTTGTCTGTGCGTGCTAAACTTCGAAATGGCTGAAACCTTTGTATAGAAGTTACATGAAGAGATGAAGAGAAAAGCCGAAGAGATCTCGGCTATATTTTATCCGAGAAACTGAGACTTTTTTTGTGAAATCGAATAGTTAATAAATGTTGATTAATGATTATCTTAAATCTAACCCCAAATTTATAGATCCTATCTGGACTGCAAACATTACATAAAAAAGAAGTGTTAAAATCGGTTCATATAAAAAAGAACATACAGTCGAAACGAGAACCTTTAACCTTCTTTTAAATAAAAAAAGGGTAAAACATGTTTTGTACTAATTGCATTCTGCGTCAATAGTCATTCGCTTAACCATTCGCTTAACACGAGTTACAAAAACAACCGTTTTTTTTTCCAATATTGATTTCCCGTACAGCACAGCTCACTTAAGCGAGTTATGTACACTTAGTATAATACTGATGACCTTTGAAGCCATCACTGTAGGAAGCTTACGATCGCCGCGATTTAATTACGATTACTAAAATACGCCTCTCAAGATGATTTATACTTAAATATAGCAATATATGGGATGGCTATGTCTTTAAACAAATAATCTAATAGATTTAGCCAATTTAATATCATCCAAAATATTTGTCTTGATGTTGAAGCTTATACAAACGATGTGTTTTTTAGTACGAAAAAAATAGCGATGTCATGCTCAGGGTCGTGATCAAGCGGAGTCCATAGAACATTTCTTGAAATATGCAAAATATTGTTTTGAGAGACATCTAGAGATGTAATGTCCATCTTTCTATGTTAATGACGCGTTGACAACTTGAGATAATCGCCACTGCGACAGAACTCAAAAATTCATCCACATCATCTCGATGGTTGGCGATCCACTGCCGTTCATTTTGAACCGAATTTTCTGCCACGCACAACCATATTCTGGAATTTATTGTCGTCAGCAGTTTTCTCGGCCCGATATGACGCTCATTTACATACCGCAATTGCAATATTAGGGTGTGCAGCGATCAGGACAATATCAGAACCGTCTCTACACACGTCTGCTGTTCAGTATATGAATCATTATATATAACATTGGCTCTTTTTATATAGAATAATGGTGACAAACGAGCACACAGTCCCCCTGGTGGTACTGGATACTGTAGACCATAGACATCCACATTCCATAATTCCATAAACACTCACGCCTGTCACCCAGAGGGGTAAGCAGAGACTACAGACTTCCATTTGGCACGATCCTGACACACCTCTCTTGCCTCCTTCACATCCATACACCTACGCATACATGCTCGTCGGTTAAGGGTACTCCTAATTTGGCCCATTTTCAATAAATCGCCAATTTGGTCGATAAATTTTCGCCTAGAACGTCCCTTTCCGACTCTGCCATTCACTTCTGCAACATAAACTTTCTTTGTCACTCTTTCCTCATTCATTCTTTCCACATGACCAAACCACCGAAGCATTCCTTTTCTTAATCCTGGTCACCACATCATCTTGCAAACCACACTCTTCTCTTATTACACAATTCCTTACCCTGTCATTCAGATTCAGCCCTAACATACTCCTTAACGACCGCATTTCTACTGCGTTTATTCTACTCTCGTGCTTCTTCTGCCACACCCAACTTTCACTACCATACGTTAAAGTAGGGACCAACACAGCATTGTGAATTGCCATACGGGCACGTATGGCACATCCACATTTGTCGATAAAACAACTAATTTAAACAGTTAGGCTTATAAGATGAAGCATGACTCTACCACGTTTAAAAACGTTATCACTTTCTGCGGTGCTAGCAGCTGCAACGTTAGCCGCTCTTCTTTATACACTTCTATCACCTTGTACAAATTTCACACTCTTTATTGTTTATTGGTATCCATTATGACTTGTACTCACGCGTGTAGGTACTGAGCGTGAAAGTCGCCAGCGAACTGATTGAAACTGCCCCAATTTCGCTACAGACGCGGCAGCCGCAGCTATAATCTAGGGAGCAAGGCAGGTCTTGTGCCGACATAGAATATTGCCCCCGCTTGCGTACACATTTCACAATTAAAGAGACAATTAAGTGTCGTCCCCACTCTTACACCCTGCGGCAGGCAAGTGAGTAGCCGCCTTTAGGGACCTACAAGAATAGAGCCTAAGGCAACGCACTTTATGTGGTGTTGCGGATGTTCATGGGTGACGGTGATACTCACGATTAGGTGAGCAGTGTGTTCGTGTGCCTTCTCTTCTATAAAAGAGGGTGATCCAATCAAAATGTCCATATGTTATGCATTTTTTATCTGAACAAAGATAAAAAGCCGTGTATACACTACTCCATATTATTCCGTGGGTGTCGTAAGAGGCAACAAAGGGAAATGAAACAGAAGATGGGCAGCAGCATCTTCAATCAATCAAAATAATTAGAAATTGCGTTTGTAAACCCATATATTTTTTTATAGGAGAAGGGTGATAAAAGAGCACACAGTTCACGTGATTGTAAGTGGTTGCTGTGGCCCATAGAACTCTACGTCTATTTTCAAATACGAATCAAAATGCAAAAGCATTGTCACCCGTGAGGACTAAGATGGAATGCCTCGTTTCCAGTAAAAGGAGTCTTTGGTTCTATACACTCAATATACGAAACACAGCAGCGTTAAGCTGCTATTTTACGCTGGTATTCTGTGAGAGCGTAATATTCTGTGAGATATTGGAATAATTGTCATAGATGGTAAGCGTGGCATCTATGGCAACTATTCTCCCCATTAATTAGGTATGAGCTAGGCCTATGTTTAGCAGTAGACTCTTTATAGGCTGTAATTAATAATTAATAAAAGGGTGTGAATAGTATGTAACAATTTCTATGAATGCCAGTGTTTGAACACCATGCAAATTAAAGAGTGAGATCAAATCCAAAAAAAACAGCGGTAAGTATATCTATTTGAAAATGAAAATATGAAACCTTACAGACAAGACCGGATTGAGCCGGTGGGCAGTACAGGTCTTTATACCTCTCCCCGTGTCCAACCCTCTAAAATACATACATACCTTACTTTCTAACCTTATGTTATTTGTTGAGGTTTTACTTATTAGCATACAATGCTGCTTTAATTGATAATATTATGCTAGAAATCTATGTTACCGTTAACGGCTGTCAATTAATTTTTGAACCTAAGGTGTAGAAACTGCACGCTAAAGAAAATACTATCGGTTGTGTGCACACCTATGAACCTTAGAGTGATTACAACCATAATTTTGACAGGCCTGTTGGTCTAGTGGTTAGTGACCCTGACTGCTAAGCCGGAGGTCGTGGGTTCGATTCCCACCAAGGACAAATGCTTGTGTGATGAGCACGATCATTTGTTCTGTGTCTGGGTGTAATTTATCTATAATATTTATGTATTTAAAAATATATAAGTATGTTTATCAGTTGTCTAGTACCCATAACACAAGCTCTGCTTAGCTTGGGACTAGATGGCGTTGTGTGATAGTTGTGGAATATTATTATGGGTATCTATTATTATTATTAATTACCTACGGTTGGTACTATAAATATATTATTATCTAAATACAAAAAAAAAAACTCGATACTAAATGAAAATAGAGCCACGCTGCAAATATATTGTAGTTGTAGCACGAATGGGTCGGCTCGACCGGGGCAGCACCACGCTCTCACAGAATACCAGCGTGAAATAGCAGCTTAATACTGCTCTGTTTCGTATGGTTAGTGTAGAGAACCGGGAACCCTTTTTACTGGAAACGAGGCATTCCATCTTAATCCTCATGGGTGACAACGCATCTGCATTTTGATTTTTAATCGAGTATAAATGTAGATGTTTATGAGCCACACCATCCATTTAACATCACGTGGACTGAGTGCTCGTTTGTCATCGTATTCTATAAAAAAAAAGTATAATCAAGTTAAATTTTTTGAAGACCTAACAATGTGAGACTTTCTTCGTTTTTTTACAAGAATTAGTATGATTAGTCTTAGATTTAAACTAGAGCCTATTTTAATAGAGAAGTGTGCAGATTTTGGCGCCGCAGCTAAGGGTATTCTTTAGTGATGATATTTTTTTTAAACCGAGACTATCAATCAACCGCGTTTTGTAATGAGGTATGTACTATGTTTGAAATTGTTAATTATTTTCGGTAGTGAATTTGCGTGTCTAAAAAATAAAATAAAATATCTTGAAAATTAATCTATTTGATGCCGCCAATACGTTGTAGAGCTATGCTGCAGCTAAATTATGGTTATATATAGGTTGGCTTGACCGGTGAAGGACCACGCTCTCACAGAATATCAGCGAGAAATAACAGCTCAATGCAGCTATGTTTTGTATGGTGCATGTAGAGAACCGTAGGCCCCTTTTAGTGGAAACAAAGCATTCCATTCTCCGGTCCAGTCCTCAGGGGAGATAACTCGCGAAACTCGGTATCAATGACCATGAGCCTCAACATTAACTTACCATCGGTAGACGGTGTGCGCGTTTGTTTTCCTTACACAATAAAAAAAACACTCTCTGTTTATCATAAAGAAGTTTTTTCATGGTACAAACAAATACACCGTGCATGATACGAAACCGTGGCCTCGCGGTGCCGTAGCCAAACGCTTCCTCTCCTAGCCACTGCGCAAATGAGTTAATGTTTTTTTTTTTTCAAAATTAAATAACAGCTAGTTTAAACTCTTTTTAAATTTCCGTTATCATTGCAGATGAGAGAGGATGTTTTTTTTTTCAAAATTATTATAAACCAGGGCTTGCTTACTATCCGATTTGATGGTAAGTGTGGTGATGCAGCCGATGATGTACACTGACTTAGCAAAAGCTTCGAAAAACTAACTCTTGCGTAGAAGACACCCATATTATATGGAAATTGAAGAAACCCATATTATCGGATGGTAACGCAGATGCTGGCAAATTATTCCACACATTTGCGTACAGCGTTATGATCGACGAAGCAAACCATTTGGTTTAAAATTCACAATGCGTGGTATGTCGACAACAAGGGTTTTTGAGCCACTGATAGTTTTGAGGAGATGGATGGAGAAGATGACTACAACAATATAATAAAGTTAATACTTATAAAGCAGGTAGTAATTTTGCAGTATTTTCGTTAAATTTGGTAATTTTATTGAACTATGTAAACAAATAAAACATTTATAGTTTATTTAAGGTTTCTTTAAATAACTTGCAGTTTAAAACAAAAAAAAGTAAACACATCGATATGTACATAATACATCTCTGCTAGGCCCATGATATAGTTACTAGGCCTATGATATAGTTCCTCTCACATCGGAGAGGGTTGCAATTAGTCCGCAGCGATGCTCCAGAGCCCATCCACGGACATTTTAAATGTTCTCGATATCTACTTATTTTATTACTCTTCTTCTTATTCTTTTAAATTATGGCTTCTCTTGGTAGAATTCTGCCAGTGTCAACTCAGTCATAGAAGTAACAACTTAATAATGGTTAAAATAAGGGTTCTCAATTTTATGAGTGGGTTCACAAACTGGACGTGGGATGTAATTGGACAGAATATCATAGAGAGAGAAAGAAAGTTTAGGACACTCAAATATTTTATTACTCAAAATGTAGATTTCTTTACGATGTTGTACTTCACTACCGGGCACTACATATAGTAAAACAAGTTAACAATTTTACAGATGCCGATGGGGATAGAGCCCGGGTTGCTCTTGAACTGCGAAAACTATTTCGAAGCTTTGTTTCTTTCCCAAGTAACACAGGCATTTTACCAAACGAATAGTAAACATATTATGTGGAACTTAAAGTCCGCATAAACTCATATTGGCATTTCAAAATCATTCTGATGCTTTGCATTGTATAACGGTTGGATAATGGCATATCAAAATGCTTTTGTATAGCCTTTAGTTTTAGTGCAGCAAACGACAACGCAGCTGTATAGCTTTCAGCTGTTTTTATTGGATTTGGATCTATAATAGCATTGTTAAGTAGTATATAAATGCTTAATGCTGGTTAGTAGCATAAACACGAACCATAATAATGCCACCTACCTGCTATACGTTTTTCAACTGTTTTAAGGGCCTTAGGGGCTACAATAGCATTTTAAGTAGTAAGTTGATGCCTAATGCTGCTTAATAGCATACACTTGTACCATTATAAATCATCGTAAATCCGTTAAACAGCTTTTAGCTGTTTTTAGTACCCTTTGTTGTGTAATAGCACTTTTAAGTGGTAAAAAAAGCTAAGTATTGCTGAACAGCAAGAACTTGAATTAATGCAATGAATTTTAAGGATCAACTGAGTTCTGTTTTACAACTAACAGCTCTTTAATCAAATACACGTGAGTTATTGTTATGCGCAAAACTGTACTCGTATATACATTCATTTTACTGTATTTGTAAAACCATTTGTATAAACGTTAGTAATGCTACTATAGAACTAGCTCAAAGTGCAAACGCTACAAATATGCTGTAAGTCGGCCGTTATACTGTTTTGATGTGTTACTTTGGTTATTCATGTGCTCGTGCCGCGCGCCAACACGCACTGTAACCTGTGCTGTAGTAGCGCGGCATAGGAGCGCGGCAGTGCCCAACTGTGTGTTTGGTAGCTGTGGCTTAGTCACCCGCGGTAAACTAAAATGAACCCACACGGATGGCCCGAGGTGAAGGACCGGCCTATGGTGGGCACTCCGAGTGGGTATGGCGAGCCTACTTCAGATGTGTGTTGGTGAACTGCACCGAGAGGGGTGTCCTAGACCCACCAACCTAACCTAGTCTAGTACAGTGAAACATAGATAAATATATAGTTTAGACATTTGCATAATATTGATAGAATTCAAAATACTTACAAATTTTTCATCTACGGGATGTTGCACGCCATTAGTGTACGGTACACAATCCGTTGATACACATCTCTCGGAACCGCTTAACGTTATAAGCATGTGCAGACTTCCACGTCCATATTCCAGCTCTTGCCAAAGTTCGTGAGTTTTCTCCCGCTCAAGATGGGAGAGATCGATGACACATCTGATGTTTATAATGTTTTAGAGTATGTTTGAATTAGAATGTATACCTAATATTTTTATATCACCATCATCATCATTATTACAGCCCTTCACAAGTCCACTGCTGAACATAGGCCTCCCCCAAAGAATGCCACAAAGCACGGTCCTGAGCCACCTGCATCCATCGACTTCCTGCATCCATTCATTGTCTTACCAGGTCGTCACTCCATCTAGCGGGGGGGGGTCGCCCTACACTTCGCCTATATGTACCTACATAAACATTGTGCGATGACATAAGTTCGTGATAATATTATTTAATTGGGTTTAGGAAGAACACGGTAATCTCTTATTTATTATTTAGAGCTCAATAGCAAATTAACTAATTAGTATTACTTTAGCCTTATTTGATAATATTATGAAGCAACTGATAGAATAGAATGTAAATCAACTAACATGTAACTAATTAAGAAGTTCGTCAACTACAATGTGAATTGGTTTAAATATATAAATAATCAAATCAGTTTTAAAATTTGTTACTATATACTTTAAATTTTAAACAATTTATGGTCTTATAAAATGGCCATAATATATAATTTGTAATTTTATTTTTAAAAAATTGTCTAAGGTAATACAGGCAGAATATCAGTGTTGTGGCAATTTTGCTGTGAGCTTACGTGGTTGACCGTGTAGTTGGCGGTGTAAAAATATCCACCACCCCATATCGTCCCGTTAAGTGCCGTAAAGGACGACGGAGGGAAAGAAACCGGAAGATGAACGTCAGCGTCTTTTTAGTAACAACTAAAAAATAAAAATAAAAACTGGGTTTGCTAACTCGCCTGTCAAGCGTGGCAACTATGGCAAATATCCTATGAGGAGGTCTATGTTCAGCAGTGAACTTTTGTAAGGCTGTCACGGTAACGGTTATTTTGAGTCGGTCTTTTTTTTGTTACGCACCAAAATCAATAAGATTTTTTTTCTGTAATACTTCTAGGAATAAATTTTATTTTCTTTCTTCCTCTCTAATTGATCTCAAAAATATGGTCAAATTTAGTCAACCTTTCCCGGTGATCAAGTAAACGAAAATCGTACACAGATAATGTTATACTACATATAATTATTTTGAATGGGTAGATTCATAAAGTTTTATCTACACAGAAAACAAAGGCGCCTTTATTAAACATTAACTTAATGTTAAAGATTATTTATTTAAAATTATGATATCTTTACCTGCCAATAAACGTCTTTTGTTTTCCCTTGTGCCACACTTTGACTTCCAAATTTGTATCCTCATACATATAAAGATTGAATCTCTCCCGCCATATCGGCTTCGATTTTAACACTTGTTTTGACTTCTGAGATTCGCTACCTAGCCTAAAATAACATATTTTAATATTATTGTAATTTATTTATACAGACTCGATTATTTTGTAGCTGTTTAGTAGCAAATTTGTGGATAAGAGAAATTTTAAATAACTTCTTTATAAACATTTATAGGTGGTACCACTACTTTCCTGCTTAGAAAACTGTATTTAAAAAAAACATCATCACCACACACTAGGATTTTCTCGTATATCATGGGGGCAATTTACGTACATAAATTTCACAAGCACAAATATCCAGGCCCGAAACAATTATTTATAGGCCATAGCAGTTATTGTTCCATGCGGGATTCGAACCCGCCGCCCTTAGCGCTGCAACTCCTTGCTTAGCCACTGCGACACGGAGTCGTCTAGGTAGGTATCACTCTCTTACGTATTTCTGTCAGCACCTAGCGCTTGTACTGCTGTTCCAGTCGGAAGGGTATAGAGAGTCAATATAATTACAGGTTATGAGGTGCGCATCTGTAAAGGCTTCTTTGTTTGAAGTTCGCTGCAGGTGTCCATGGAAATTTGAATGCAGCACTTACGATCAGTTGGACTGTGAGTTCGTTCGCCAGCTCAATTTTATAAAAAATAATTCATAACATACGAATTTTCATTTGACCATCATTGCACGCAGTACACAAAAATAAAATATGCGGACATTATATCCTTATAGTCAAAACAATCGGAATATATTTACAAAGGAAAGGCTTTAGGGTGATCCAGTTAACCCAAGTAGGGTTTTAGAGGTAAGGGACATGAGGAGGTATTTTAACGTTTGTAACAGCTTTAAAAAGTGTTTATAAAATTTGATAAAAGAAAATGAATAATAATAAATATGATTTTCCTCTGCAAAAGTAATGAGTAGAATAAAAATATTACTCACTTAAACTTGCAGTAAAGGCCATTTTGATTGGACGGAATATCACTCGGCAAGTCTTTGGCTTCTACAAGAACGATATTTACTTGGGATTTCCATGATTTCTTCAGAACATCAAATTTTCTGTTCTTCAAAAAGTACTGCACAAAATTAAAATATTTTAATAAAAAGAATGAAGTTCAATAATATTATATAATTAAGGCTTAATAAATCTTTATATTAATCGATAGCACGGTAGTGATAGTGTAGCTTCTGAACGACTTTATTGATTGAGGTCATATTCGCAATATCAAATATATTAATGAACATTTTGTTTAGACTCTAGACGATGGTTCGTAGCAATACTAGAATCCGATAGGTGGCGCTATGTCAAAATATTTCCAGATTCCACATTCATGAACCAAATTGACCCTTATTTACGATATGATATGTAGGTTATGAGCTAAAATTGATAAACTATATAGTTATAAATATTTTTTACATTTACATTGTAAAGAGTCAAGAGCGCATCACCGAAAACGGGTAGAAGAACATCTGCCGGGACAGCAAGTAAATTCATATATATGAGAAAGGTTTAAGTCAAGTTGGTATAAAAGTCTCTAAATGTTAATAACAAAAAAATTTAAACTGAAATCCGACAATAAACAAATTCCATTCATCATCATCATCATTACAGCCCTTCACAAGTCCACTGCTGAACATAGGCCTCCCCCAAGTAACGCCACAAAGCACGGTCCTGAGCCACCTGCATCCATCGACTTCCTACATGTCTTACCAGGTCGTCAATCCATCTAGTGGGGGGTCGCCCTATACTACTTCCCCATCGGTTATCGGTTCTTCGAGCTATATGGCCGGCCCATTGCCACTTCAGCTTACTAATCCGTTGGGCTATGTCGGTCACTCTGGTTTTGCTGCGGATATCCTCATTTCTGAGTCTATCACGCAAAGAAACTCCGAGCATAGCCCACTCCATAGCTCGCTGAGCGACCTTGAGCGTCCTCATACGGCAAGCAGTGAAGGACCACGTCTCAGATCCGTAAGTCATCACTGGCACACGCACACACTTTAGTTTTCAGAGATTGAGGTATATCTGACGAGAAGATGTGTCGTAATTTCCCGAACGCTGCCCAGCCGAGTTGAATCCGTCGATTGACCTCTCGGTCGAAGTTGGACTTACCTAGTCGGACTATTTGTCCCAGGTAAACGTACTCGTCAACAACTTCGAGCATAGTGCTCCCAACAACTACCGGTATAGGTGTGACGTGGACATTAAACATGATCTTTGCTTTGTCCATGTTCATCTTAAGACCTATCCATTGGGAGACACCATTGAGGTCATTGAGCATAGTGCTAAGGTCCTCCAGCGATTCTGCCATAAGGACTATATCGTCGGCAAATCGAAGGTGAGTGATCTACTCGCCATTGATGTTAATACACTATCCTTTCTAGTCCAGTAGCTTGAAAACGTCTTCCAACGCAGCGGTGAAGAGTTCCGGGGATATAACATCACCCTGCCTTACAACTCTCTGCAGTTGGATAGGTTTCGAACTCTGGTTCTGTACTCGGATAGCCATCGTAGCCCTACTGTACAAACACTTCAGCACTTCGATATACCGACAGTCAACTTGGCACCGCTGAAGGGAATGTAGCACCGCCCAAATTTCGACGGAATCAAAGGCTTTCTCATAGTCCACATATGCCAGGCAAAGTGGCAGATTGTACTCTTCGGTCTTCTGTACAATCTGCCGCAGGGTATGTATGTGGTCTATGGTACTGAAGCCTTTTCGGAAACCGGCTATAATATAAATTCCATTTTATTATACCATTCGTAAAAAGTAAGGGATGATCTTCCACGAAATACTTAAATCAATTGGTACACGATGAAAGCCATAGATAGGCCTCACTTTTTGTGGGGGCGATGTCATTACTCGACCAAATATTTGAGCATCTCTGCCCACCGTAAGGAGTTCTTTTCAAAAATCGCTCAATCCGAATTTATTTATTTTATTTACAGAGTATTCCTTTCTATTTAAGTCTTGTTCTTCCTTTTTTTTATAGGGGAGGGGGCAAACGAGCATACGGCTCACTTGATGGTAAGTGATTACCGCCGCCCATGAACAGCTGCAACACCAGGGGGATTGCAGATGCGTTATTGGCCTTTTAAAAAGGAGTAGGCTCTTTTCTTGAAGGTCCCTAAGTCGTATCGGTCCGGAAAAACTCTGGTGGTAGTTGATTCCACAAGGAAGTTGTGCGAGGAAGGAAACTTCTTTTAAATCGCTTAGTGGTGGACCGCCAGTCATCCAGATGGTATGGATGGTATCGCGAGTTTTGTCGCGATGTGCGATGTGATCTTATTTTGTGTAATATTACCAAACTTAAACTGACATTATAAAAGCAACGAAAAAACAACAGATCAATATTTAAAACAGATAAAATTCTTATAAAATCTTTCACTGGCGAAGTTGTACGTTGTAACTAATTTAATTTGTTTACGTAGCTTACTGTATTATAAATAAAAGGGTTACACAAACCTTTTGAACCTTCTTCCCGTGGTCTCTGAGTAAAGTCAATCCACTACCAATACGATTCATAATGTCCGATGGAACTGCAAGCGCAGTCGGCGCCAGCGGATCCATCACAAAGCTGTCCGGAATCGGAAGTGACCTGGGGTATAAGAAAAATAAATTCAGACTTTTTATTTCGTTTCGTAATTTCTTTTCAAGCAGTGGATGAAATCATTTTGGTGTCTTTCTATTTGGCTTAAAAAATTACTTCAAAATTCTCAGGTCTTAGGTCAGGTTCTAAGGTCGTGTTCTAGCGACCAACAAAAACAAGTGTATTAAATCAAAATACCGAGTCCAAATCTCACCGATTGATCGTTATATAATCACCAGTATAGCAAGTGAACTTTAAAAGGCACTTGAATATGCACATATTCATAAATTTCATAATCACTAATGACCCTCGATGACTGATAAGAAAATATAATAAAAAACATTATTTTGTTGGTCTAGTTCGGTACGTGAGTGTAATATGTTCATCCAGTTAATATGGTTACTTCCTTATAACCCAAAAACTACAGTATTGTTTACATAGATGGAATTGTGAAACTATAGCAATTCATCGATCAACCTAATAATAAAGGGTCGAAAGGGCGCTGCTTTATCGACACAATTTAGACAGTTGATATTATAGTAAATAGTTTAGTTGGTTTTTGTATGGGGTAGTGTAGTCAGTTTTTTTAAGTAGATTTTTCAAAGTGTTCATAATTATTGCCAAGGCTAGTTTGATATTATTTTCTTGATATATTGGTTATAGTATACGAATTTGTGTTTTTGTATTTATCCTCCTCCTAGTTTTGGTTTCATAGGGCGGCAAAGACCTCACGTACCTTATATGTCTTTACCAATCGTCCGATTACGATGGGTAGTTTTGCGCGCGCCAGCGAAAGCTTGTGACAAAAATATGTATATATAATAATATATTTGTTTGTTTATTTGTTTTCTATACGTTCTATACTATTCATCCAATAACGAGCATTATAACGCATGCTCAGCATACCTGGTATGAAACATGTCTTGAATCTCTGTTTCATTTGTTTGTTTTTAATAACTTCCTTATAAACATAATAAGTTTAGAATGACTAACTTGCAGTCTACCTGATGAGAAAATACCATTTATATCATCGAATTGAATCATTTGAAGAGAATTGCCTAAAAATTGAGGTGGAATAGTTTTCCATACACTTGCGCCAATTCTTCCTGGGCGTACCGATGGAAATAAGGACATGCTATTCATATTATGTTTTAATGAATCACTAATGACTGGTTCAAACACATCTATTAATTGAATTTCCTTTGTTTACTTTGAAAGTAATGTATTTGTACAATGAATGTATCCATCATACAAAAAGACTGGTCAAAAGTGGCACATCTGTATTTAAATTTTATTTTCAAAACACTCAAAATGTCTTGTAAAGTAATTATGTATTTAGGATTTAAAAAATATTTGAGGTTTAAATCATAAAATGACCTATTGATCTCACTCGCAACACAGCTGCTGTTTAAACGTAAAATAACAGGTTCATTTACTTCGGAACAACCTAGAATAACGACTTCTAAGCCCGAAATGTGACTCATATTTTTTGTTTAAACAATGTAGTTTGTAGAATTCTACAATTAAGAATACTAAAGTATAAAAAAATTGATCATCAGCTGTGATGTCCCTGATGAGAAAACTGGATCATCATCATAGCCATAAAATTATTTTATTTTCGTCGGTTGATGCATCTGAAAAATTTCAGATTATTCAGGTGTCTGAAAATAGGTGAAAACCTAATTACAAAAATTTATTACGTTCATACATACATATACACATACAGATCAAGCAAACACAAAGCGTTTAAAAAGGGTTTTTATAACCTAAAATATTTTTACTACAGTTCTTTTGAAATAAAGGAAAGAATCGGATTGGTTAGAAGTTTGAAACGCAAATTTTAGGTTCTAATGTAGTGGTGCATGCAATTATGGAATGAAGGGTGCTATTCGTATTTGGTGATACACACACAAATTAATTGTTAACGCAGATATCTCAGTTGATAGATTTTCATACTACTGTCTTTTTTAGTAAAGGTTGGTTGAATACTCAAAGGTAAAGGTATAAAATACATCACTAATATGCTTCGAAATGACTCAAAGATGACGTACAAGCCAAAAATACATAAATAAAATTAAAGTGTCTGTAATATACATAGATATAACTTAAAGGTGTGTCTACGCTAGACGAGAGGAGCACGAGCGGAGCATGAAGCTGGCTTTCCGCTATGGGATTTAATATATATTATACCCCGAAATATAAATTATATCCGGCGATTGCCCTTCCTACTGTGAGATATATCTTTTAACCAGTGTGCGTTCGTCATTGGAAGATCTGAGGACGTAGCGGAGGCGCGGAGGAAGGGGGTGCGGGGTACAGGAGGTGAAATATAATATGAAAATATCGCTTGGTCGATCGAAAAAATATTTATAGTTTGGGATGTAATATATATTATATCTCAGTGGAAACGGTTCCATTTAAAAGTATGGTGAGCGATATTAATTTATATCTTGAGATGTAATATAAATTATATTATATCCCATAGTGGAAAGTGGGCTTGAGTCGAACACAAATTCGTGTAGTGTTAACCACCGATATAAGTCTCATATAGTCTTTGGTCTCAAACGAGCGCGCTTCGAGCGTTTCAGAGCGTTTGGTTTGTTCTCGACTGTGCTCCGCCTATTTTTGGTTTTTTGACGAACACAAAATGCATCGCATGCATCGATTTGCATGTTGTAGGCTCGTTGTACGTTCACCCTTGACACCACGAGTAGAGCAACTCAGCTTGTGCTCAGTTCGTGCTAGGCTCCTCTAGCGTAGACCCACCTTAAGGAAGAGATAGGAGCGATGCCAGGATCTAGGCTTCGAATCTTCCGGAAAAATTAGAGGATTTTTTTGATCTATAAACTGATTAAAATAAATTATCTTAGGCTCAATTTACATTACGGAGGAATGGAATAGAAGCGTCATTATCGCCAAGATGCGCGGGAAGGAGCACGAGGCTGTCTGTCGTGTAGTCGCCTTGAGGATGTAGGAAAGTTAATCCAGATTCCACGCCTTTCGTGCCACTTCCAGCGAATTCCACAGACTTCGCCCACAGTAGGTACAGGAATCTTCAAGAATTCCCCGGAAGACTTGCGACTTCTTTTTTGGCTCATATCTTGTTTGCGCGTTACACAATTAACATAAGACTCATTTTACTATGTACAATTTCGTTACAAAAATTTACTTTCATTCCGTTCCGCAGCAGCAAAATTGAGCTTAAATTTAAACGACGCCACATTGATAGATCCCACCCAGGCCAGCCCGACTTCACCCGGGTGGCTAGGATACTAAATAAGTTTAAGTGAACAAACTCTCTGAAATATTATTATTATACTATCTATTCTGTTAATGTCTAGTCTATTCTGTTTTATACAGCACAGCTTACATACGTTAATGGGTATTCTTACCTACCTTACCTACTAGACTATTTATTTCAAACTAGCAGTAAAAAGTTTTTTTTTAAATATATTCAATGCAAAACTGTGTCAAAATAAAAGCAATCGGTAAAGAACTTTAAATTACAGGTTTTAAATAAACGGTACTTAAAATGTTACCGTAAGATTTACTGTAATTAGTTAATTAGGTACGTTTTTAAATTTGCTTTTATGATTTAATACAAAGGTAATCATGTTTTGATTTAAAAATATACTTAGAGGTGTGTTTTATGCAAAACATTAGTAATGTTTTGAATAAAATTAAATATTAATTTCAATTGTTGTTTTTATAAGCATTTTAAAAGTTTTATCGAAATTCACAACATAAGGTGATGTGGGGTAAGACTACCACCGGGTTAAGATAAAACATTCACTATTTAGTAAAGTAGAACCTCTGTAAGTCAAACCTCAAAAAATGTTTCCTTCGCTTCCCTTCAAGCCTCAATTAACTTCTATTACTCAAATCTCAAACCTCTTTATGTTGAAATAATTAGTGAATCCCTATAAGTCGTTTCATAACTCGAAAAAATATATTAGACCTCTATATGTCGAATATTTAATTAGCAACTTTTACAACTCGATAACTTGAAACTAATTACCTCTAAAGCACGAAGAGAAATGAAGTAAGTTATCGACTTGAAAAATTTGCCGACAATGTACGTCATTGTTTCTAAGAAAACAATAAACAATAAGTAAGATTACTAATTCTACGAAATGATAAACGAGATTCATGGCCTCCAAATTAGTAAGAATGAATCTAACCCTCTACATTCGATAATTTCCTAACAAAATCAGGATAAGTCGAAACCCTTCCTAAGTCGAAAACTCTATAACTCGAAACTCTCCCTCGGATAATTCCCTTAGTCGCCTTTTACGACACCCACGCGAATGGATAGGGTGGTGCCATTCTATGCATCCGGCACCACACGCGCGCATGATTAGCGTGTTATGATGACTTCATATAATCATAATAATTATGTAATTAGTAATTACAAATTAATGTCAAGCATTCACAGTAACTTAAGATCCGGGCGGAATGCAAGTGGGGTGGAGGTTTCGACGTATACAGTCTCCATAAAATACACAAATTAAATTAGCCACGCTGCAGCTATATTATGGTTGTGGCACTAATGGATCGACTCAACCGGACAAGGACCACTCTCTCACAGAATACCAGCGTAAAATAGCAGCTTAATGCTGCTTTGTTTCGTATGGTGAGTGTAGGGAACCGGATACCCGTTTTACTAGAAACGAGGCATGACAATCTTAGTACTCAGGGTTGACAAAGTATCTGCATTTTAATTCTTAATCGAGGATAAATGTAGATGTCTATGGACCACAGCATCACCTTACCATCAGGTGGATTGTGTGCTCGTTTATCACCCTTATTTTATACAAAAAAGGTTAAACTAGACCTAATATTACCGAGGGGAAAGTTAATAGAAAAAACAATTGGTAAACCCTGATTTTGATTGCATGTTAGTTTTTCACTTATTTATATTTACACTAATAACTTAAAAGTGAAACTTTTATCGTTTGATATAAGACTCAAAATAAAAGTTACTACTGTTATCATTTACGATTTTTTTC